ATCCATAGCTATAGGTGTGGTGGCAAATTGCACTGGGCTCAGTGGTAAGTCTTAATCACAGACTCTGTTTATTCTTACCGACATTAATATACAATATCAGCAATTTTGCTTCTGAAAAACAATCTGTTGATTTTGTCTTTTTTTTTCTTTAAAAATTTTTTTTATTGATTTTTTACAGAGAGGAAAGAGAGAGACAGAGAGCTAGAAACATCGATGAGAGAATCATCGATCAGCTGCCTCTTGCACACCTCCTACTGGGGATGTGCCTGCAACCACGGTACATGACCTTGACCGGAATCGAACCCGGGACCCTTCAGTCTGCAGGCTGACGCTCTATCCACTGAGCCAAACCAGTTTCGGCGTCTTTCTTTTTTTCCTTAAATTGTGCAATCACAAATCCATTCAAAGGAGGAGAAAGAAGTTAATGCCTATGGAAAAACCAAAGAAAATGTGCTCAGATTGATTGCTTTTTGGCAATCCAGCTGAGTTTAGGATTTACCAAGGAAACTCCAGTTAAGTGTGAGCCTAGAAGAGCTCAAGAGCTTTCCCAAGCCTGAAGATTGAATTTTCAAGTTACCTTATAAGGTATCTCAGAGAAAATCATATGCATGCAAATACAGGCTGAAATGTTAAGAAAACTGTAGTTTCTAAAGCTGCTTTATTCTGAAACAATAAGGAAATAGAAGAGAGACAACAGACAGTACGTAATTTGCCTTGCTGGGAACCAATATTGAGAAAAAGTTAGTTAAATCTTCCCCAGGATCATCTGGCCTGGATTCAGCTATCGAGGGCAGAACAAAAGAGAAAGTGAAAGGTCCTCTAGATCAGGTGTTTCCCAGGGTGGAATTGAAAAGCAGCTCCCTTATCCTGTCTGCTTTTGAGTCCTGTCTTAGATCGAACTTTCTGGCACTGGATTTAAAAGCATCTTCAGAATAGGAGGGTGCTCACATTAGCCCCTTCCTTGCTTCCTTCTTTCTATGCATTTCCTGGGGCCTTTGTGTCTGTCCCCCTAAAACGACTGCAATCAGATCTGAAGGCAGGGGCTGTGTCTCAACTCATCTTTGTATATTTTCTTTCAACCCTTGTTGTCTGACAATGTTTTTGCTTATATATAATACATTTTTGTTTGATAAATAAAATGAAATATATAGTTAGAGGCAAATACATATTATCCAATGTTTCAATTGCTTTGAGAGAATAAAAAGATATTATTAGATTTGTGATGTGATTGACTTCATGTTATTAATAGAATGATTTATATTTTAAGTGCAAATAAAAATTGCTTTAAAGGACTTTGATATGTATTTTTCTTAAAGAAGGAATAGCCTTACTGTGATATATATAAATGAAAGCAAATTTAGAAAAGGCTTAATGGAAGGAGTTATGTAAAGAGGATAGCCACTAATGATAGTTACCAATATCTTCAAGTTTCCATATAGTTATAAGTTGAATAAAATGTTTTTCATCTTTATAGCTACTGCTAATGGTGTTAGACTCATGAGTGAGGGGGAAAGGTATCTGTGGATAATGTCACTTTCTTTTACCTCAACTTATGGTTTAGTATTACACTCTTCAACATTGCTTTTTTTTTTTTTTTTTTTTTAGATCCCACCCTGTTAGGTTTGCTAAGAAGAGACACTAACTAGTGACTGAAAAAAGTGTGTTTTTTTTTTAAATCTCAGTAACACCTTCTCAATAACGTTTTACTCCAGGGTGGACAGTTCTCCACCCCCACCCCCCCCTTTTTTTTTTGATCTTCCCAAAGGCAGCCTCCTTTTGTCCCTTCAGAGGCACCAGCACCAGCTAAGCAGTGACCCCTTCTCAGAGCAGACCAACTTCATGAGAACTCTCCAGCAAACCTCGGTGTTCAACTAATTTCAACATTTTCCTTCTGTTCTTCCAGCCTCAGGGGAGTGAGCAGCTTCCTGGAATTACTATGTTTTCTTTCTCCTTTTAGCTTTTTGAAGTTCTCCAGTAATTAAGTAACCAATAGCTTACATTACGTTTTATTTGTTGAAATGCTTCTGGCAGTTTCTGTTTTTCTGGCTGGTTCCTGATGAATATGGTACTTAAGACCTGAAGGGGGTCCAACTCCACAGGGGTCCATCCCTGAATCTGCAGGGTCAGAAGATCTGAAGGAGCAGAGCAGCCTGCACTGGCATGGGGACCTGTTATAGAGCCCATTCTTATCTAGATCCTAAAGAAACCATAATGTATTTAACTAGTCCCCTGCAGATGGGTATTTAAAATATGTTGTTTTAAACTTTTGTTACTGTAAACAATGCAGCAAATAATCTCAAATAAGGATTTTTTTTTTTTTACATTTGGGCAAGAATATCTCTAAGATAAAGTTACAAAAGTAGAATTGCTGAATTAAAAGGATTGCCCAGTTACTCTTGCTTTTGCTTTTTGTTTGTTTTTGCTTTTCCCCCAATTCCTCTTTATAGAGGTTGTACCAATCAAGTCTCTTGAAGGCAATAAACAAATTTGTCTGAGAAAGAGAGAAGTTAACACATGGATGAGGGAGCCAGGTATAGCAGGCACGCTTGTCCCAGTAAGAGGACCTTAACTGGTGGAAGAGAGCTCACCTAAGTACAGAAGGAGATCTATCATTTGAGGAATTACTTTCTGGCTTAGACTCCATGGACTCCCCTTTGGAGAGAAGGGAGGAAAAATACAATTGGAAAAAGTTATTTTCAATACTTTGGTACTCCTTTATAGAAGGTAACACAAAAAAGGGAGAGAGACTTGCCTCAGATCACCAACAGGGTTGAGCTGTCTGAAGAGGTTTCATGCTGTGCACAGGGAGACTTAGTACCTAGTAAGTGTGGCTGTGGTGGACAGCAGCAAGAATGACATCTCAGATGTGTGGCTATGGGAATAGCACAGCTATTGGCAGTGCTGCTGGGTACAGTTTATGTGGTAGCTATAAGCACAGATGAGGCACTTGGGGTGGAACTTGCTAGTGTACTGGGTCTATTTCCTATAGTATTGGCGAATTTAAGAGCAGGCAAAACAGCCTACAAACTCTCATTTGCTTAGGTTGTTCCTTTTCCTCATTTCTACATCTTTGTCTCAAAAAATGGGGTAGACTTTCATTTAAAAATAAAGTAAAATAGTCTTCTCCCTATAAGACATGTTAGCAAATTCAGGTTGTGACTAAGTTATCATTTTTTTTTTTAGTTAATATATTTTATTGACTTTTTACAGAGAGGAAGAGAGGGATAGAGAGTTAGAAACATCGATGAGAGAGAATCATTGATCAGCTGCCTCCTGCACACCCCCTACTGGGGATGTGCCTGCAACCAAGGCACATTCCCTTGAACAGAATCAAACCCGGGACCCTTCAGTCCGCAGGCCGACGCTCTATCCACTGAGCCAAACCGGTTTTGGCAAGTGACTAAGTTATTTTTACCATCTGCTGTTAGATTTTTCTGGTCGTTTATTCCCTGTTCTGTAGAGCTCTACTACTGAAGTTATTGCTCTTGTTTAGTAAACGGGCTACACCCTCAGGCTTGCTTTTACTGATTTCACCATGGCATCACTGGGTCACAAAGCTGTGTTCAACCAGAGCTCTGTTTTCCCTCCTCTGTGAGATCTGTGCTGCCTTTTGTTTTAAGTTCCACAGTGTCTTGTTTGTGCCATTCTTAATTTACATGGTAGAGATGCTATCATCACCAATTAACATTTTTCAAGGGCCCCCCTGCAGGCATGGCACATTGGAACTAATTTAATATTCTCTTTGCTTCCAGATACATCAGCTGGATCCTTCAAATGAATTTTTCAGGATCTCAGTGATGAAGAAGAACAGAGACATCAGTCAGGATTCAGGAGGACAAGCCTTTGCAGAACATGCTTTAAAAAAAGCATCAAGGATTGGTATTAATATTTGAAAGTTTCCTTCAGTCAACAAATGACAAAAGTAAAAGACGCTGCATTCATTGCTCCTGGAATAGGCCTTGCCTCCGTGCCATCAGCCATCTGCCCTTTGTTTGTAGCACTTCCCTCTTTTCTTATTTCAGCCCTTCTGATCTTCAAGGCTGAGTCCAAATATTTCTCCTTGAGCCATTTTCTAATCATCTCCGCCATTGGGGCGACTCCCTCCTCCAATTCTGATAGCCCTTATCACTTATACCAGTCACTTGGAAATTTACCACATGATGCATTATACTTTTATTTAATGAATATTTGTTAATACTCCTCAAGTATATTAGAGAACTATCTACACGATTTCTTTCTTTCCCATTCTCAGGGTCTGCACGGTGTTCTGTCAATCGTAGAATATATTAAAGTCTATTAAAATGAAATTGAATTTTTAAAAAAGGGTTGGGGGGGAGGGACAGTGAGACTCACAAGCATCATTAATTAACGTTTTCTAATGATGGAGTTTTATGTACATTTTTTTGTTTTGTTTTTTTTTTTTAGGGGGCATTGGCGGAAGCAAGAACACCACTGGAAATCAGCAGTTTGTCTTCCAAGATTTAATAAAAAATTTTTTTTTTTTTTTACCCTGCCTAAGTTGTATTTATTTTTTTGGCCTGTCCCTTTCGGTGTGGCAGTAAGTAGTCTAACATGGGAAAAGACCTGATCACTTTCATTTCAGAAAAACAAACATTCGGTTCCGTCATACATTTTAGAACTCAGAACACACCTTTACGCCTTATGACGTCAGGAACCTGGCCCCGCGAGGCCTGCGACTCCCGGACTTCACCAGCACCGACCCCTATTGTGACGCGGGAACCGCGGTACCCGCAGCCCCGGGAGCTGTTTTCCAGACAAAGCTCCCGCGGGGCCCCGCCCACCGCGGTTCCGGGAACCTCATTGGCCGGCCCTGCGCCCGCCGTGTCTATTCGCCCTCGGGGTTTGTCACGGGAGGCGGGAGTCCCCCTCCCGCGCATCGATTGGTGAAATCTTAATGACGGCAAGCAGTTTCCCAAATTCCTATTGGTTCTGAGGCCTCCGAGTGGGCGGGGAAAGGCAGAGCTACGGGGCTCAAGGAGGGAAGCGCGGAATGCGCCGGCGCGTAGTCGGGGACGCCGGGCCGAGGGTTTTGCTAGGAAACCGACTGTTATTGCCCCGCCCCCTCGGGGCTTTTGGTCCCGTTAACTGTCGGGGTGCGGGGGGCTGCAGGGCCGGGCGACATGCCGGTGCGCTTCAAGGTGAGGCCGGGGTCCGCGGGCCCGAAGGCTGATGGGGGGCGGGGGAGGGGGGGGCCGTGGCGGCCTCGCTGGCTCTGCGCCGCGCCTCTCGGCACCCGCGGAACCTGCCAGCCTCAGAGCCTGCCTGCCAGCCACAGCTCAGGAGGATGCTCGTCTCCTCTTACCCGCTCCCTCTCCGCTCGCACTCACTCCCGACGTACCATGTGGTCCAGTCGGATGGTGTTGAGATGGGTTTGGGAGGCTCCGTGGAGATGGAGGGAGAGAATGGGCTTCAGATCGGGACTCTTGTGGCCCACCTCCCAGTGTAGCATGTAACGCCCCTCCCCCTTATCCTGTCCAGGTCTCATGTCTCAAAGCCTTTAAAAGACATACGCTTTACAGTGCGTATGTCTTTTAAAGGCTTTGAGACATTGGGACCTGGACAGGATAAAGATGGGAGTGTGAGAAATTCACATTATGCGTCGTCGTGCATTTGGTTCGTTCACATTTCTAGGTAGCTAGCTGACAGGGTCCGGCATCCTTCACCGGGACGCTTGGCCAAGCTTTCCCACCAACCCTGACCGCCTTAGCTTTGTGTCTTAAGGATTTGTATCTAGATGGGGAGGGGGATTTGTCTTTCTTCAATTGACTTACTTGACAACATTTTCAAAGGTACTAGGCATGACACATAATATCGCGTACTCCTCGAGACCTTCCTTAGGATAATTATGGTGGTGAGGCTTCCGATTGTCACTGTTTTTAGGGAAGAGCTCAGGCTTTGGGACCGGAGTCTCAGATTCCTGCTGGCGTCTGCCTCAAGTGGTTGTGAGGATTAAAGGATAGAAGGCGTGTGAACTGCTTAGCACAGGGCCCGGTAAATATTAGCCATTGTTAAGGAGCTCTTCTTTGTTTAACCGTCCACCTTAAGTCTTGCAAACCTTTTAGAGATTCAGAAATGATTTTTACCGATGCCTTCTTTAAAACAACGCTCATTAATTAACATTGTACTCAAATTGTACTTTGCCTTACAGGGGCTGAGTGAATACCAGAGGAACTTTCTGTGGAAAAAGTCCTACTTATCAGAGGCCTGCAATGGCTCAGTGGGTCGAAGGCACCCATGGGCTGGACTTAGGTCAGATCAAATAGGTAAGTTGGGGAAATTAATAGTCATTATTCCTTGAATAAGCCTTGGGGTAAGTTTGCAAAAATGATTAAAACATTGTGAAAATTGGATCAGTTTGCCTGGTTGACTTATGCATTCGTTTATATAACAAATATATATTTTTTAAGGATTTACTATAGGCCAGGACCACTCCTAGCTTCTAGGGAAATAGTCTCAAACTAGACAAAGACCCTTAAGTTTAGGGAAGAGCAGAACAAGTAAATTATTTAAGTAAGCTAGGGGATTTCAGGTGTTTTTTTTTTTTTTTTTTAAATATATATTTTATTGATTTTGCACAGAGAGGAAGGGAGAGAGATAGAGAGTTAGAAACATCGATGAGAGAGAGTCATCGATTGGCTGCTTCTTGCACACTCCCTACTGGGGATATGCCCGCAACCAAGGTACATGCCCTTGACCGGAATCGAACCCGGGACCTTTCAGTCCCCAAGCCGACGCTCTATCCATTGAGCCAAACCGGTCTCGGCATCAGGTGTTTTTTTTTTTTTTAATTGTAGGCGAGCATGATAGATAAGTTTGGGGAGGGATGGAGTGGAGGAAATATACTTTAGATTGGCTATTTGAGCTGATATATGAAGACAGAGTAGATGAGCCTAGGGAGGAGTATTCCCAAGGTATTGAGGAATTGAAGCTTAGATCGGTTTTGTTGCCCAAGGTTCACAGCTAGTAAATGATGGGACCATGATTTGAAATCACGTCTGTACTGTTCAAAACCATGAGTTCAGAGGACACATTCTTGTCATCATACATGCTTCCTCCCTTTGTACCAAGGAAGTCAGAGCCCTGGGCCAAGGTTTCCTGAGTGTGGCAGAGGGCGAAATAGACTGACTATTCTACTGGCTTACTTAATTCTCCCTCACTGGAGTATAACATCCCAGAGCAGTGCTTTCTCTGACAGCCTGTCTTCACCGCCTTGTTACCACGCAGTACCTGACACACTCTAGTTCTTATTAACACTGATTTCTGAATGAATGAATAAGCCTGAGTTTGAATCCACATTAGTTATGTGACCTTGGGAAAATTTGGCCTGTTTCACCAATTGAGACTTAGGAAGCACGTTGCACAGACGAGCCTGGGGAGGAGTATTCCCCGGCTGGGAGGGAGTAAATGAGCTGTTGCCTGTTAAGGGTCAGACCCATACATAACAGATGAATGCTTGGTGCCTCATATGTGTAAGGTGAAAGTGCCTGATGTGTGGTAGATAAGTTCCTCAAATGTTAGATGTTTTGAGTCAGGAGAAAGAAAGGCTTGAGTGGGTGCCAGGCCTGGGAAATTAGTAAAATGAGAGTGTTTCCATGATTAGGTTTGGGAAATAAAGGGAAGAGTTGAATAGAAGGGTGGCTCTTTTAGGGATCCTTTGAAGTGTCAGAATCCATTGCCCAGAGCCTGACTTCAAAGGCTGGATGTCCCTATTTCTTGGGCAGGGTGATGCTCATAATCCTCTTCAAATGATCAGAAGTCCCACAAATTTATTTAGATAAGAATCCAAAATAAATCTCTCTTATAGTATGGATGCTTCACAGAGGGTCTAGAGAGAAATTGGGTAACCAAATAGTTGCCTCAGGCCTCCCCCTTACCTATTATGTCCTTTTAACTTAGATGAGGATGTTTGAGGATTGAGAGGTAATGAAATGATACTTTGGATAATGATCCTATATAATAAAAGGCTAATATGCAAATTGATCAAACTGTGGAATGACTGATCGCTATGATGTGCACTGATCACCAGGGGGAAGATGGTCAATGCAGGAGCTGCCCCCTGGTGGTCAGTGTGCTCCCACAGGGGGAGCACCACTCAGCCAGCAGCGAGGCTCACAGCTGAGGAGCACAGGGGTGGTGGCGGGAGCCTCTCCCACCTCCGCTTCGGCACCAAGGACCTCTTGGCGGACATCCCCTGAGGAGTCTCTGACTGCCAGAGGGCACAGGCTGGGCTGAGGGACCCACCCCCAGTGCACGAACGTTGTACACCAGGCCTCTAGTACATTATTAAAGGAGGAATGGTCTAGGGAGGCATGTTAATGGAGAATAGTAGGTAAGGGGGAGGCCTGAGTGAGAACTCCAGGATTTTCATAAAGGAAAGTGGAGGTTTGCCAGGAACAACAGTAGTGTTAACTGGGACTGGGTGAGTGTTCTGATAACAAGTGTATTTTCCCCCCATAGTGTGTTTTTGCTGGTGCTGGGAGATAAGGGCAGGCCACTTGAAAATCTTCCCCATTTTTTATTTTGTTCTTCTACCAGAAGCGCCTGTCTGTGTTAAAGCAGAGAAAAGTTTAGTGGGCTTCAAACTTCAAACTTTCATACTCCTAAAAGAACTTAAAAGGTTTTTATATTCCTTCACATTTTTTTGAGGGGATTTTATTTTTATTTATTTATTTTTAATTTTTTAAATTAAATTATTATCTTTATACATATACCATTGCCTCCCCCCATACATGCCCTCCCTTTTTGTGTCCATTAGTTGTACTTATATGCATGTATACAAGTCCTTCGGTTGATCTCTTATCTCCCCCAGATCTCCCCAACCTCCCCACTGTAATTTGACAGTCTGCTTGTTGCTTTACTGTCTCTATATCTATCATTTGGTTCTTCAGTTTATAATGTTCTTTATCATCCATAAATAAGTGATGTCATGTGGTGTTTCTCTTTCATTGACTGGCTTATTAAGTTGGTATTTATTTATTTTTATCGTAAGTGTGATAAAGTTGAAAAAATGTGATTTCTGGTATATTTTACTCCAATTTAGCTCATTCAGTTTATGGTAAATGTTGATCATAGATATAATTGGTAAAGTTAGTCCTTGGCAAAACTAATCAAAATTATTTTCTGTGAGAAAAAAGAGGTCTAACTTTTCAATGCAAATAAATGTGATATTCATTTCACTTGATGACCCTCCACACGTGAATTTTAATATAAGATAGGTAGATGGAAAAGATGTGGAGCTGGGTGAAGTAAGGCATGGCTCCTTTGTTATTTCTGATCTCTGCCTTCTTTGCTTTGCTGCCAGGATTTATGTTCTCTTGAATTGTTCCTTTGTTTTCCTTCCCTACCTATGAGGTAATTTTTATTCCTGAGGCTGGTTGAGAAGTTTTTCTTTTGTGAAGTGGGAAAAGGATGATTATGAAAGGTGTGATGGGAAATAAAAGTATAGATGGCAGGTGCACCTCTTAGGCAGATCAGTGTCAGGAAGTTAGGATCTGGAAAATGATTTCCTTAAGCTGCCCATTTCTGTTTACCCTCTCCCCCTACGCGCAGAATATCTATATACTAGAGGCCTGGTGCATGAAATCTGTGCAGGAGCCCCGTGATTGATCGCCCCATAGGGTAGGCCCTGCCCACCTATCCGGGACTCCTCAATGGATTGCCCCAAAAAGGTAGGCTGGAGCCATGGGACCCGCCACCCACACGTGCACACAGCCCCACTCTCCCGCGCGTGCCTGCTGTGCACATAGCCTCCTGGTGATCACTCGTTATGGTGTGAGGGTGTCACGACCACATAGGCTTTTATTAATAGGATGCCTCCAGACATATGCATCCATTTTGAAGACCACTGGTTTAGGGAAGCCTTGAAAGGGTAGGTCTGACTTTTCCATCTACCTATCTTATATTAAAATTCGGGTGTGGAGGGTCATCAAGTGAAATGAATATCACATTTATTTGCATTGAAAAGTTAGACCTCTGTATGTGGCCAATGGTTGGAATATCCAGGATAGAGGCTAAAGAACTATGGTGTTTTTTTTGTTTTGTTTTTACCTCATGCTGGATTTTCTGTCCACCTCCTTCTCCTTCCCTTCCCTTCCAGTCTATCTTTCTTCCTCACTGTACAATCTTCTTTCTATATAAAGAATGACACCAAACTGGGGCAGTATCTTAGTGTCTGCCATTCCACTGAGCTCCTCTTACCTCACAGCAGGTTAAGTTTTTGGACATTTGTTGCCAGACAGAAATATAGAGGAATAGTATCTTAGCTCTTGTTAAAAGGGTTCATTCTCTTTAATTCTCAGGAAATCAAGGCAAATGTAGAACCAAGATCCATCATAATGACATCTCATCCCTTCTCATCTTGGTCTGCTCTGCATAAGAGAAGCTTTGTGAATAGTTCCAAATTTTGACAGTACCAGGGCCCATTGTTCTGTTAAGTAGCACAGGAAAGAAATTAGAACCGGAGCAGCATGTGCTGCTTGACTTGCCAGGCCCATCACGTTGTGGTTCTAGTGACTTGTGTGAGGATAACTTGAACATTGTGACCCCAATTTTAGTATTTTTATGGTCAAACTTTTAATATTTCTTTAAAGCAAAATTAAAGATTTTATGTTGAAAAACTATGCTTAGATTCTCAACTGAATTTTATATTTCACTTCTCTCATAAGTGTTATTAAAAATTGTCTTTGTAACCTTATGCTTTGGTATCTGCTACTTTTGTATACTATATATTGTAGGAATCACAAGAGAGCCAAGTTTTATTTCAAAAAGAAGAGTCCCTCACCATGACCCACAGATTTCAAAATTTCTTGAGTGGAATGGAGCTACCTCAGAGAACTGTGGGGTTGTGCCACCAGAACCTGAAGCCCCAGAAGCACTGGAATCACAAGGGGCAGAACAAAAAGATGTTAATCAAGAAAGAGTTCTTGCACTAGAAGACACCATGGTTCCCAAGAGAACCACGTGTCACTCTCCAGACTCCACAGCGGAAAGGGCTTCCGATATCGTGGAAAATAATACGGATGCAATGATAAACCACATACCAGCTAATGAAAATGTAGAACAGGAAAGTTGTACCAAGCCTCTCTCAGAAAAAACAGATAATAGGGTAAGTATATTCACTGTATTTCCTTACAAAAGCATATAATTTTTTTGTAGATTTCATCATTTCAGTATTATTTAATGCTTAAAAATTTTTTGTTTTCTGCCTATAGCATAGTTAACAGGAGGCTATTGACCCTATTGTGAATTAGTTTTATTCTTTTTTTTTCTTTAATTCTTTATTTAAAGTATCACATAGGTCTCCTTTTCCCGCCATTGACCTCTTCTCGTCACTCCCACCCCCCAGGACATGCCCTCACTCCCCTAGTGTCTGTGTCCATTGATTATGCTTATATGTATGCATACAAGTTCTTTGGTTGACCTCTTACTCCTCACCTCCATCCTCCCCTACCTTCTCTATTCTTAATAGTCACTTTGTACTGGTTTTACTAAGGTATTTCTTCATTGCGTGGACAGCTTGCTTCTGGATTTTATTCATCATATATCAGTTCCTGAGTCCTAAGGGAGAGATCAAGTTGAGACAGAGAAGGGGAGTAGGTCATTACCTCTGGCAGAGATGCTGAGCTGACTTCTACCTAGGCTCTTTTCAATTTATTATTGTATACCAGGAAGAAAAAAACAAACAGAATCTCAGTTGATGAGATGCAAAAGAAAGGAGAGTTTTGGCTGGATCTCAAAGATCTTGCAGTTCTCTCTTATGTCATAGCTGGCCTGCAGAAGGTCCCCGAGAGCACATAAGCAGAGGCTGCAGGGACCTGTGCAGGCATCTCACTGCCTCCCACGTTTTTCTCCATTGCACTGTGCTGCTTCCCCATTGCATGTGCACTGCTGACTGGAACCACAGAGAGGCATATAGAAGTGCTGGAGAAGAATCCATGGCTTGTGAAAACCAGGGTGCATAGGGGAATCAAGGAAGGTGATGTGTAAAGCTGGTTAACAGGGGGAAGTGGTGTCTCAGAAGCAATGTGTGTGTGAAGTAAAAGGCTGTTATTTCTCAGTAATAGATTTAATTAAAAATAATTGGTAGGAAGGATTAATAACTGAGACTTTTTAATCTTTTTCTGAGATGCATAATACTTTCTTGATAGTATTAAGAAAGGGATTTTAAATAGATTGACAATTTAAAAGGTAGGTTATCAGTTGAGAAAAATTGTGAAACAATGGATATCATTAATAATGCTGTACTGTAGACTTAAACATTGGTTAAGGGTGAATTTCATGTTATGTTTTTTTAACCACAGTAAAAAAGAAAAATTTAAATGGAACTTTTTGATGACTTTGGGTGGGATTGTTTTTCTCCTAACAGTTGGATAGATTTCTGCAGAAGAAAGCTGGATTGACTGTTGTTCCTTCACAGAGTGTCTTGAGGAATTCTGAATATCAAAGGCAGTTTGTTTGGAAGACCCCTAAAAAAACTGCTCCAGTTTTTGCAGCCAATCAGGTAGTTTAATGGATGTAATATATTTTTGTATATCATCATTTAATCTAGTTATGTAGATTTACATAGAACTAATTGCTAAAAGAAATTAGATACTTAAGTAGGCCTGGAGATAGATTCTAGAGAAGTGAAAATGAGAGTCTTGCTAAAATTATTTGATTAGTTGTGATTTATATTATATTGTCCTGGGCTACTGATGATCATTGTTGCCAGATCTATCATATATGATAAATATGTGACAGGGTAATGAAAACTTTTTTCTCAATAAGTTTTTGCATGCTGTGAGTTCTTTTATTTATTTAAAAATTAACTTGGTTTTATTCTAAAATGTGTTTAGTTGACTAATACATTTACATGTTTTTTGTCCTCTGAAAAAGGCATAACTGCTTTGGATATTTATTTTAATAAATGCAAAATATCTTGATATTAACAGAAGATATACAATTTTATCTTTTTATTAAAGGAACAGTAATAGGAATTCACAGTTAACGACATTTATAAAATTCAAAAACTATAATGATGACTAAATGTGATATTAGATTCATTGTATCCTTACAGAATTTTATTATTAGATTACCATAACCAATAAATATTCTTGTTTTACTACTGTCATTTTCTAGACAGTTCTTAGGCTCTTAACTCTTATTTTCTTAAACGTACTCCTATACCTAGGTGGGAAATACTGCCATTTAGGATATCTTCAGGGGCTCATGACAGTTCAGACTTTTGTTTCGCCTCATCTTTGTGTTTTTCTTCATAAACACACACACACACACACACACACACACATTTCTCTACACATCCTCACATTCATTTTCTCCTGTAACGCAACATTCACCAGTTAGATTTAGCTAGGCAAGGACATAAATAATTTTACACTAAGATAATAATACCAGTGACTTATATATTGTGGAAGTTTTGGGCTTATTTACTTGTTATTCAGTTTTTAAAATACTTGAAATTTATATAACATTTTAGGAATGTAAAAATAATATAAAATGATATATACCCTTTATGAACCTAGTAAGTAGGATCAGTACTTTTGCTGGCTTACTAGTATTCTTGGATAGTAAGTGTACCTAAAAATTACTTAATACCTAAAAATTACAAATTCTTTCGTTTTTATAGAGTATGTCACCTTTAAAATAGAGATGATTCCAATTAAAGTCCCATTAACAACTGTTACATATTTCAATGAGACTATTGTATAGAAATGTTCTTTTTCATAGGATTAGAAGTATAATGTAAATCACTAGCAACACTATAGTAGTTTTATTGCTTTTATTAGGAGGTTTCCAAATAATTTTTTGGGAAAGCAAATACTTTAAAGAATATCAGTTTCAGGGTCTGTGGACTGAAGGGCTCTTTGAAGAAATGAAATGCTTGCTGATGGGAACCTCCAAAGTAGCTGTTTAGTTCTGTTTTATCAGACTCTGGTTTCTGAAAGGATGTCTTATATTAATATGAAAAGGAGTAAGCAATATTTGCAGAAAATTACTTGAGATTATATTGTATCTTAAAAAGATACACTGTTTGGATTCAATTTCTATGAAGATGTAGTATTCAGAGTTATAAAGAAATAATATTATTTGTGCTTACATCTTTTTCATTTGCTTTCCTTATAATATACCATAAAATGGAAACATATTATGAAGTATTAAGGATAAAAGGAAATATTTAAAAATAGGAACATAATAATTATGTGACTTTTTCCTTTCTTTAAACTAAAAATAAGCAAAGAAACAAAAACTGAAGAAATGAACATACCAGACATTCAAAATGTTAAGCATTTTCTATTGCAGGAAGGAAAAAATACACATTGAGGGGGGAAAAATGGTAGCGCTGACAATAGATTGCCTTGTAAAGCTAATCTCTATGTTCATATTATTAAAATACTAGAGACCCGGTGCATGAATTCACCGGGAGTCCCTCAGCCTGGCCTGTGCCTTTTTGCAATTCAGGAACCCTTGCAAGTTGTCAGACTGCTGGTTTTGGCCTGGTCCCTGTAGGCTAGGCTGAGGGACCCCACCAGTGCATGAATCCATGCACTGGGCCTCTATTGTGCATATAAGATCTTTGGTTAATTTCCCCCCTTCCCTCTGAGATTCATCAGTCTCCTTCTATGCTTCCATGCCTGTGCGTTAAGCATTTCCCCCCTTGTGGTCAGTGCGTGTCATAGCTACTGGTTGAATGGTAGAATGGTTGCTCAGGCTTTTATATATATAGATGTCTATTCTATAAATTCCATTACCAAACTGATGTGAGACTTTGGGGAGAAAAGATAGAAAAGAAATGGTGCATTATTTTTCTTGGGTTAAGCATTATTTTGATTATAATAGCTATTATTCAGAACATAGTAGTAATGAATATAGAAAGTTGATCTTTGGATTTTTTTCAGTTTTATTGAGGTTTAATTGAAAAAATGATATATTTATGTGTACATATATAAGGAAATGTTTACCACAGTCTAACTAACACCTCTATTCATTTTTTATGATAAGAATATATTTTTTTTTATGCTGAGATCTATCCTCTTAGCAAGTTTTAAGTATACAATATAGTATTCTTAGCTACAGTCACCCTGCTATACTTGAGAGCTGCAGAAATTATTTGTCCTGCGCAATTGAAATTTTGGACTTTTCAACCAATATATTTCCATTTCCTTCACCCACTGGCCCCTGGCAACCACCATTCTACTCTACTTCAATGAGTTTGACTTTTATAGATTCCACATATAAGTGCAATCATGTAGTATTCATCTTTCTGTGCCTCGCTTATTTCACTTAGCACATGTTCTCCAGGTTCATCCATGTTGCAAATGACAGGATTTCTTTTCAAGGATGAATAATATTCCATTGTATTATTTTTCTTTATTTATTCATCTGTGGATGGACACTTAGGCTCATTCCATATCTTGGCTATTGTGAATGATCCTGCAGTGAACAAAAGAGTACAGATATCTCTTCAAGATACTGATTTCAATTCCTTTGGAATTGCTGAATCATGGTAGTTCTGTTGCTAATTTTTTGAGGAACCTCCATACTGTTTTTCATAATGGCTCTACTAATTTATATTCTTACCAACAGTGTTCAAGGGATCTCTACATCATTGCAAACATTTATCTTTTGTATTTTTGATAATAACAATTCTAACAGATGTGAGGTAATTGTCCCATTATGGTTTCGATGTACACTTCCCTGATGATTAATGATGTTGATCATCTGCTTGTATACCCATTGACCATTTGTATGTCCTTTTTGAAAAAAATGTCTATTCAGTTTCTCTGCCCATTTTTAATTGAATTTTTTTTTCTTTTGCATTGTATGAGTTCTATTAGTATTACATACCTACTAGTTAAGATGTTTTTATTGATTTTAGAGAGAAGAAAGGAGAGGGAGAGAGGTAGAAACATCGACGAGAGTAAAACATAAATTGGCTGCCTCCTGCAGGCCCCCTGCTAGGAACTGGGCCCACATGTGCTTTAACCGGAGTGGACCCAGTGGCCTCGATGCACGCGGGGATGCTAAACCCGCTGAACCACACCGACTGGCCTATTGTTACGTATTCATCCTCATTGATAGGTGACTTCCAAACATTTCCTCCTGTTTCCTAAGTTTTGTTGCAGATGGTTTCCTTGGCTGTGTAGAATTTGGGCTTCTCTGTAATTATTTTAATATTTAAAATGTTATATTCAATTTTCATTTATATACATAACATACATAATTTTACATAAGTGCATAAATATAATATATTATAGAAATATTATGAAAGGTTAATATCCTGAATATGTAAATAGACAACAAACTATACAAGCAAGAACACTTAAAATCACCCCTCTGAAATGATTACTGAAATAATCATTGTACATATTTCAATGTATTTTTAACATTGTTCTGAAAAAAAAAAAATATATATATATATATTAGTATATATATATATATATATATATATATATATATATATATATAGACTAGAGGCCCATTGTGCAAGAATAGGCCTTTCTTCCCCTGGCTATATATACTAGAGGCCTGGTGCATGAAATTTGTGCACTTGCAGGGCGGAGGGAGTCCCTCAGCTTGGCCTGCACCTTTTCACAGTCTGGGGAGCCCTCAGGGGATGTCCCACTGATAGCTTAGGCCTGCCACCACTGCTGTGCTCTTCAGCCATGATCCTGGCTCCTTCATTGAGCGTCTGCCCCCTGGTGGTCAGTGCACATCATAGTGAGAAGTTGAGTGACCTTAGTATATCATCAGCATATTACGCTTTGATTGGTTGACCAGACAACTGGACACTTAGCATATTAGGCTTTTATTACATAGGATGTATATGCATACATGCGATCATCTTACCTAATAATAGACAAACATTAAATTGACTGTACCTCCACCACACCCACAGCCAATCAGGAGTGAGTATACAAATTAATCTGCTGATGGTGGGTTAGTTTGCATATGGAAGCTTGGAGAGGCTGGGAGGTGGGGTGCCTGCTATGAGGGAGAGGAAGGGCAGCGGAGGGAGCTACAGGAACTGTAGGAGTGAGGACTTGCAGGCTCCCAGGTAGCCGGGAGCAAAGCCAGGGGAAGGAAGACCTATTCTTGCACAAATATCATGTAATGGGTCTCTAGACCACATGTGTCAAACACAAGGCCTGCGGGCCAAATCCGTCCCGCCAGGCCTTGCAATGTGGCCTGCACCACGCTGTCATCACTGCACTCCACTGCGTTTCCATCACAATGACAGTTTATGACTGTTCAGTAAACCATTCGGCCCGTGATTTAGGCTGGATTTTAGATTTTGGCCCCTTCTCTGATTGAGTTCGACATCCCTACTCTAGACTATAATGATCAAAGCTTATCATTCCAGATGTCCTTCCAGTTGGAGCCTTGGCAGCTGGGGCCAAGGCAGAGGTGGTTGGGGGCGATCAGGCAGGCGAGCGGTTAGGGGCAATGAGGCAGGCAGGCAGAGGCAGTTCGGGGTGATCAGGCAGGTAGGTGAGCAGTTAGGGGCGATCAGGCAGGCAGGCGAGCAGTTAGGGGTGATCAGGCAGGCAGGCAGAGTGGTTGGGACAATCAGGCAGGCAGGTAGGTGAGCGGTTAGGAGCCAGCAGTCCCGGATTATGAGAGGGTGCAGGCTGGGTTGAGGGGACTCCCCCACTCCTGAGTGCATGAATTTTGTGCACTGGATTTCTAATATTTTACATATAATTCTATATCCTGACCTTTTTATTTAAACTTAATGATATGCTGTGTTTTGACATTTTACCTTTTATATATTTTTTGAAAATAGGATTTTTTTAGACTATGATGTATACTCATGATTTTTTTTAAAAAATTTTATTGTTGAAAGTATTACGTACATTTCCTTTTCCCCCCCACATTGACCTCTTCTAGCCCACTTCAGCTCTTCACCCCCACCCCTGCCCTTCACCAGCCTATTATCTGTGTTTATGGGTTATGTATAAATGCATACAAGTTCTTGGTTGATCTCTTCCCACCCACCCATCCACCCACACTTTCCCTCTGAGATTCCACAGTCTGTTCCATGCTTCTATGTCTCTGGATCTATTTTTTCATCAGTTTATTTTGTTTGAGCATTTTTTCATATGTCTTCTGGCCATCTGTATGTCCTCTTTGGAGAAGTGTCTATTTAGGTCTTTTGCCCATTTTATAATTGGATTGTTTGTGTTCCTTTTGTTAAGTTGTATAAGCTCATTATATATTTTGGATAATTACCCTTTATCAGATGTATCATTGCCAAATATGTTCTCCCATATAATGGGCTTCCTATTTATTTTGTTGATGGTTTCTTTTGCTGTGCAGAAGCTTTTTATTTTGATGTAGTTCCATTTGTTTGTGTTCTCCTTAGTTTCCTTTGTCCTAGGAGATGTATCCATAAACATATTGCTATCAGAGATGGCTGAGATTTTTCTGCCGATGGTTTCTTCTAGGATTTTTATGGTTTCATGACTTATATTTAAATCTTTTATCCATTTTGAGTTTATTCTTGTGTATAATGTAAATTAGTGGTCTAGTTTCGTTTTTTTTTGCCTATGTCTGTCCAATTTTCCCAACACTATTTATTAAAGAGACTGTATTTATTCCATTGTATGTTCTTGCCCCCTTTGTCAAAATTAATTGAGTATAACGGCTTGGGTTGATTTCAGGGGTCTCTGTTCTGTTCCATTGATCTGTGTGCCTGTTCTTGGCCAGCACCAGACTCTTGATTACAGTGGCTTTGTAGTATAACTTGATATCTGGTATTGTGATCCCTCCAACTGTGTTCTCCTTTCTCATGATTCCTGTGGTTATTCAGGGTCTTTTTGGTTTCATATACATTTTTTGGATTATTTGTTCTAAGTCTGTAAAACATGCCATTGGTGTTATAGATTGCTTTGGGTAGTATGGACATTTTAATGATGTTAATTCTACTAATCCATGAACACAGTATATTTTTTCACTTGTTTATATCTTCCTCTCTCTTTTTTCAATGTCCTATTGTTTTCTGAGTACAAGTTTTTTACCTCCATGGTTAAGTTTATTCCTAATTATTTTAGGAATAAACTTTTTTGTTGAAATGGTAAATGCCATCTATTTCTGTGTTAGTTTTATATCCTGCTACATTGCCGAATTCATTTATTACATCTAGTATGTGGCTTAGAACACTTAAGCTAAAAATAAACATTTTGCTTATTTTGCTTATTGTCCAATCAACAAGTTCTTTGGTTGATCTCTTCCCACCCACTCACCCTCTCACACCTTCCCTCTGACATTTGTCAGTTTGTTCCATGTATCCATGACTCCAATTCTCTTTTATTCATCGGTTTATTTTGTTCATTAGATTCCACATATGAGTAAGATCCCATGGTATTTGTCTTTCTCTGACTGGTTTATTTCGCTTAGCATAATAATCTCCAGATCCATCTATGCTGTCACAAAGACTAAGAGTTCCTTCATTTGTACAACTGCATAGTATTCCATTGTGTAAAATGTACCACAGGTTTTTTTTATCCACTTATCTACTGATGGATTCTTGGGCTATTTCTAGATCTTGGCTATTATAAATAACACTCCTATGAACATAGGGGAACATATAGTCTTTCTGATTGGTATTTCAGGATATCCTATATAATAAAAGGGTAATATGCAAATTGACCGAACAGCAGAACGACTGGTGCTATGATGTAAACTGACCACCAGGGGGCAGATGCTCAATGCGGGAGCTGCTCCCTGGTGGTCAGAGGGCTCCCACAGAGGGAGTACTGCTCAGCCAGAAGCTAGGCTCACCGCCCACTGCTGACGAGTGCAGTGGTGGTGGTGGGAGCCTTTCCTGCCTCTGAGGCAGCACTAAGGGTGTCTGACTAACAGCTTAAGTGGGGAGCAGGCCTAAGCCATCAGTCGGACATTGTCCCAAGGGCTTCCGGATTGAGAGAGGGCACAGGCCAGCCTGAGGGACCCCCTGAGTGCACAAATCTCATATACCAGGCCTCTAATTTAGGTATATTCCCAGAAGTGGGATTGCTGGGTCAAAGACAGCTCTATTTTTAATTTTTTGAGGAAACTCCATACTGTTTTCCGTAGTAGCTGCATCAGTCTGCATTCCCACCAACAGTGCAATAGGGTTCCCTTTTTTCCATATCCTTGCCAGCACTTACTTACTTGTCTATTTGTATGCCTCTTTACCCATATTTAAATTGGATTGTTTTCTTGCTATTGTGTTGAGTTCCTGGATATATTTTGAATATTGACCCCTTATGAGATCTAAGGTTCTAATGTTTTCTTCCATTTCGTACATTGTCTCTCATTCTGTTGTTTCTCTTTTCTGTATAAAAGCTGTTAGTTCGATACAATCTCATTTCTCTATTTCTGCTTTTGTTGCCCTTTGGATTTTATTTAGACATGTGAAATGAAAGTACAGAGTCATATATAATTTGCCTTTTTTATTTTCAACTTTGTGCATGAAAAATTTTAAGCTATTGAAAAACTGATTTCTGTAATAATTAAACAACAAAAAGTTAAACTAAACTAATTTTTGTTTTAAGGTTTTCCACAATAAAAGCAAATTTGTTCCACAATTCAAAGATAACTCAATAATCCATGAAAGTGAATACAAAAGAAATTTCAAGGGTTTGTCGCCTGTGAAAGAACCAAAATTAAGAAGTGATTTGAAAGAAAACGGACATTTTGAAACAGTATCTCCTGAAAAAAAGGTATTCATCAACTCTTTAAACAAAACAAAATCCTCATTTTAGACTCACATTTTTTTCTTTCACTTACCACTCCTTGGCATTTTTGTTATTAGCTAGTTCATTAAATAATTTGTTTGTTCATTAAATGGCAGACTCATTGAGCACTTAGTAGGAACTGGGCACTGGGTAGCTACTGAGAATACAATAACTATGCTCAGTTCTGAAGAAGTTGGGAAGACAGAAGTGAAAATAGCTAAATGTAATACAGAGTGATGAATGCTTCACAAATACAGCAAGTAAGTCTGCTATGTCTAATATCAAGTGATTGACTTTACAGTGATATGGGCCTCACAGATCACAGCAGTAAGAGAAACACATACTTTAAATCAAATAATGGAAATAAAACATAAACACACAAACACACATATATTTTATTTTATTTTAAAAATATTTTTACTGATTTATTTTAGAAAGAGAGAGGAATGGTAAGGGAGGGAGAGAAACATTGATGTGAGAACGGAACATTGATCGGTTGCCTCCTGCGTGCTCTCCATTGGGGACTGAGCCCACAACCCAGGCATGTACTCTCACCAGGAATTGAACCAGCAGCCTTTTGGTGGACTGGACAGTGCCAAACCAACTGAGCCACACCAGCTCAACATATGTATATATTTTTTAAAATATATTTTATTGATTACAGAGAGGAAGGGAGAGAGATAGAGAGCTACAAACGTCAATGAGAGAGAAACATCGACCAGCTGCCTCTTGCACACTCCCTACCGGGGATGTGCCTGAAACCAATGTACATGCCCTTGACCGGAATCGAACCTGGGACCTTTCAGTCCGCAGACCGATGCTCTGCCACTGAGCCAAACTGGTTTCGGCTCAACATATGTATCAAAATTCTAGCATGCCAAATTATAGTCAGTGTAATTCACATACTTTACCTCAGGATATACAACTACCTGCTTCTTTGTGAATTTATAGCTATTTAAGTTGCAGTATCAGGTTGAAATTATTGTAAATTATAAGTAAACTAGAGGCCCAATGCAAGAAATTTGTGCAAGAGTAAACCTTCCTTCCCCTGGCTGCTGGCACTGGCTCTCCTCGAACCGGGTTTCCTTCCAGCTGCCAGCAGGCACCTGGGCTTCTCTCACAGCCCCAGCTTCATCAGGAAGGTTGTCCAGAAGGATGTCTGGTCTAATTAGCATATTGTGCTTTTATTATTATAGATGGGGTATAAGTCCTATATTATATCTGATGCTTTTTGGATTCTAAAAATAGAAATTTTATGACTAAAAGTAAAACTTTTGGGGCCTATGTTGTTCTTGGAGAGAAAAAAAGAGAGATTAAGTTTTGAAGTAAAACAATGTGGTAACTTATTATTGGGGTCTTATATTTGATTACTATAATATAATTAATTAAAAATTTAGAGTATCAAGGGCAAATGTTAGATCACTGCTCAAAAGGTAGTAATGAAAAGTTTATTTACTTTGGTATTTATTGTTAATTCAAATTTTTTTTTCTAGTGAAGGAGCTAAAATTTTAATTCTTAAAAAGTGAAATTATATCCTGAGCTATCCTTCAAAAAAATAACCAGATATACTAGTTTCAAAACTTCTTTGTTGATTTCTTGTGATTTCTATGTTATCTTTAGTAGTTAAAGCTTTTTTTCTAAAAACAAAATTGTAATACAGTATTCAAGTAAACTTTATAATGTTTATGCTTTTAAATTTTTTCATTTTAGTGTAATAAAACAGACGATTCTTTAAAATTAGAAGCAGAAATGGAATCAAAAGACTTAAACCAGCTTAAAAAGAAGCTCACTCCTTGGAAACATCAAAGGCTTGGGTATGTATTTTATAAGATAAATACCATAGTATTTAGATGATTGGCATGACGATGAAATATTTACTCTTATTTCTTTGCTATTAGGAAGGTGAATTCTGAATATAGAGCAAAATTTCTGAGCCCAGCCCAGTATTTATATAAAGCTGGGGCATGGACACAAGTGAAGGAAAATATACCAAATCAGGTGAGTCTACATAAGCTCAGTAAGCCTACATTTTCTTTTAGCCTTTATTAGTAATAGATTTAGTAATAGAGACAATATAAAGATGTATGATACAATAATAGCAATAAAAGTATCAGGAACTTAAAGTTGTACATAGTAAGCTATAATTTATCAGTATGTTTACTTTTTAAAAACACCAACTAGCTCCTTAGATAATAATAACTGATTATTATAAAGTCTTTAAAGTTAAAAATATTTTTTACAGACAATATTCAGTTTATAGAATTGTGGTATGATATATTTTATTATTTTATAACATACAGACTCCTGCCTTTGCAACTGAAGATTAATTAATTTTCTAGATTAGTTTGTCTGACAGTGGTAGGCCCTATCATTATGTACTATTACAGTCTGTAAGTACAGGGAAGGAATGGCCTGATAGAGGTTTGAGTTATGATGTCAGGATACCCTGACATACGGGGGAAATGTTGAGAATCCTAAAAGGAAGTATAAGGGAAAGAGTAATCCTTGAATTAGTAAGTGCTAGTTTAGTACTAACTTCTTATAGTCAAAGGATAAACATTGGAGCTTTTTTGGTTGTTATATAGTTAGCATCTATTAAACCACATCTTGAGGGTTTTCTTCCTTTTCTGTGTGAATTAGCTAAATTAAAACATATTAGTTTAGGTTATACACCAGCAAATACTTCCTCCCCCTATCATTGTAAAGAGAGGAGTAATTTGGATGGGGAATGAATCTTTTATTTAATTCCATACTTAAAACCATGGCTGACAATTATACACAGAATGTGGCCATAGAGGACTGTGTGGTGTCAGTCATTCCAGGGAGAGAGAGAAATATCAGTGATGAGAGAGAATCACTGATCAGTTGCCTCCTGCATGCCCCCTACTGGGAATGGAAACCATAACCCAGGCATGTGCCCTTGACTGGAATCAAACCTGGGACCTTTCCGTCCGCAGGCCAACACTCTCTGCACTGAACCAAACCAGTGAGGGCCCACCTGTCCTGTTTTTTAGGTGTTTCACCAGGTTGGTTCATGAGAAAGTCCTTGTATTGGAAAAATTATCTTAGTCTCTGAGACTTCTTTAAACTACGAAGATGAATTGGTATTATTAAGTGCTAGTTTAGTACCAACATCAGATCTTAATGGACTAAGGGGATCCTTATGTCTGATGGTCCTTATGCTGCCCTGATAGACGAGAATATTTTTGTTGTTAATTTAAGAACTGTCTTTTCAAGGTTTCCTAATATGATACGTTGGTGTGACTTTTGAGGGGAGTTTGTTTCATTAATTGCCATTAATGGTGATAAATTCAATTTAAATTAGTGGTATAGTTTGCCTTGACCTTTATTAGCAAAATAATTAAAAAAGTAAATTGAGTTAGAAAAGAATAAGAATTTTCAGTAAAGAGGTCAGTGATCACTAATGGTGATAAAAGTCTGTAACCAGGCCGTAGACTTTAATGTGGCGACGGTCTCTTTTTAAGTTTTAGTTTTGTTTTTTTTTCCTACTGGAAAGCATTTACTGAATGGTAAGGGTCTAAACATAAAGTACTCCTTTATTTTTCCACTCCTAACATTTAATGAAGGAATTTATTGATACTCATCAATGCACTTAACGTCAATGACTTTATTATCTTAGAATGTAAACTTATTTTTTTGAATCATATTACAATTTTCTAGACCATATATCATCTTCATTTTCTTCTATGTTGTTTGAGATATTACTTTTAAAATCTATTTATAGTCTAGTCACTGGATATTGTATTCTAAGTCCCAAGTATCTAGTCATATAACATTAAGGTACAGTTGGTTTTATTGGTCCAGTGTAATTTTTATTTTTTATCTCCATAATGTAAGTATTGTTTTTGTAAAATGCTCACTTAAAGGATTATCTTTAATAATAAATAGCAATCGTAATTGTTAGCGCCTTTCCTCAGAATAGCTATTGAATCCATGTTAAATTTCCTTTTTTCTTGATTGTTAGATAATCTAATAATTCAAATTACATTAAGATAATTTAAAAATTTTAAATACTTACAGTTGACATACAGTATTAGTTTCAGGTGTACAACATAATGATGAGACATTTGAGTACCTTATGAAATGATCCTACATACTATCTAATAAAGGGAGAATATGCTAATTGACTGCCACTCCCTCACAAAGATGGCAGCTCCCACAGCCAATAGGAGGGAATATGCCAATTGACTGCCCTCAAAGATGGTGGCGCTCAGTCCCCTCACCCCGCCAGGCACCTAGGACCAGCCGAGGCACAGGTAAGCCTCGGATGGTGGCTGCCTAGCTGCCCAGGGCTGGTCCAAGGAGCAGATAAGCCTCTGATGTCATCTGTCCAGCTGCCCGGGGCCGCCTGAGGCTCAGGTAACCAGGGACGGCAGGGGCTTGCACTGCTGGCAGGGGCAGCAGCAGAGTTGTGATCGCCGGGTTGTTTCCTGCCCCTGAGGGCTCTTGGATTGTGAGAGGGGGCAGGCTGGGCTGAGGGACCCTCCCCCCCCAGTACATGAATTTTCATGCACCAGGTCGCTAGTAGTTATTATAGTACTAGAGGAACCCCACTGGTACAAGAATTGGTGCACTGGGCCTCCAGTATGCATATAAGATCTTTGGTTAATCTCTTCCCACCATCTCCCCTCCCCATTTCCCTCTGAGATTCATCAGTCTGTTCCTTGTTTCCATGTCTGTGTGTTGAGTGTCAATACACATCATAGCTACTGGTCGAACAAACAAATGGTTGCTTAGGTTTTTATATATATAGATTACTGACTATATTCCAAATGCTATACTTTATTTCCCTGTGACTTTTTATAATTGGCAATTAATCACTTTCATCTTTTTCACCCAACCCCTTCTCATTTCCTGACCTTCAATTTGTTCTCTGGGTAAATTTTTTTTTAATATGTCTTTCACAGATAGGACTTTATTTAAGATAAAGTTCCACATTCTATAATTTGACAGACATTGTAAGGACTACTACATATAAAGATGATGCCTCCTCACTTTTGGGAGGTGATTTTTGGAAAAAGAGAGTTTTTATATTTTCTCCCCAGTTTTCTAAGTTTGAATTTTCTGTATATAGATTTTAAGTGATTTAGTTAAGTTCTTAGTTGGGGAAAATAAATTCAGAAATGAAAACATTCTACTCATAGTGTTTATTATATCATGTAATCTGATTGCATTACTTGGAAAAAGATATGTGTGTTGTTTCAGTTGAGTTTGGAATGGTTTACTTATATCCTTTGTAGTGCTTCGGGTTCTTGGCTGTAAGGATTGTTCTTAATATTTTGTACACACCAAACTCTAGTAGAACGCCTAAGGAGATATAAACCTCCTAATTTTTATTGTTGTTGTTCATTTTTCCATTGATTTTTAGAGAGAGTGGAAGGGAGGGGAACACACACACACACACACATACAGAAATATCAATGTTAAGATATCCATTTGTTGCGTCCGGCATATGCCCCAATCTTGGGCTGGGGATCGAGCCTGCAATTGAGGTGCTGTTGGGGGCCAACCTTCTAACTGCTGAACTGCATTGGCCAGGGCTCAATCTCCTAATTTTTATCTTAGTTTAGGATTATAGAAGTTTAAAATTATGTATTTGTAAAACATAACATTAAATTATTAATAAAGATTGCTGATAAAGTAAATTTGAAATATTGTTTTGAATGTCAGTAACAAATAGAACAGTAAACCAAAGTTTTACAGTATTTCTGTATCTCTTCTCCCTTTTTAAAAAAGATTGATGTCAAATAAAACTGGATCACTGTGTACCTGGAGAGCATATTCATCCATCCTCTCATTTATCAAACAGTAAGGTCCTCCCGTGTGAATAGATGCAGCTTTTTTCGCTGTACCTTTCCACTCCACCCTACACACACATAGGAGTTACATTCTCCCTTTTGATCCACTCTTTCAACTTATATCTCATTTGGTTATTATGGCATAAACCATACTAATATTATGATAATAAATTATCATAGAGGAGAAGGTTTACTCCTCTACCAAACTGAACACATTGAATACAGGGACTTGCTTGCTTATCTTTGGCTCCCAGCCTTTTAAGCTAAGATGGAGCACATAGTCCGCACTCAGGACAGGCTGTGGAAACAATGTTTAAATGCTACATTCTTCCTTACCTCAAGGAGTTCATAGGTTAATGGGAGAGAATGACACTAGCAATTAATTCCTGTAGGATAAAATAAGTACTAATAGGGATTTGCACCAAAGGCTTTAACAACACAGAGGAGGAATCAATGTAAGGCCAGCAGATTTTATCACATTCTAGAGGCCTGGCGCATGAAATTTGTGCACTTGTAGAAGGGGTCCCTCAGCCTGGCCTACTCCCTCTTGTAGTCCAGAAGCCCTTGGGGGATGTTCGACTCCCATGGGGAGCAGGCCTAAGCTGTCAGTCAGACATCCTTAGTGCTGCTGCGGGGGTGGGAGAGGCTCTCGGCACCGCCACTGTGCTCGCCCGGCTCCTGGCTGAGCTGTGCTCCCCTTGTGGGAGTGCACTGACCACAGGTGACAGCTCCTACTTTGAGCATCTGCTCCCTGGTGGTCAGTGCGCATCATAGCAATCAGTTCTGCTGTCATAGCAACTGGTTCCATCAGGTCAAACGGGGTCTCAACATCCCCCAAGGGGGTCCTGAGTTGTGAGAGGGCACAGGCCAGGCAGACGGACCCCACTGGTGCACGATCAGGGCTGGGGAGGGATGTGAGAGGTTGAACAGCTGGGGAAGGACCACAGAAGGGCTCCAAGGTGTGTGCAGCATGTCTCGCTCACTCATGATCGGCTGGAAACCAGCAGCAAACTAACTTACCTGTTGGAGTGACTGGTCAACTGGTCGACTGTGCCTTGTGGTGGTCAGTGCACGTCATAGTGACTGGTTGAGCATCCTTAGCATATTATTAGCATATTACACATTGATTGGTTGAATGGATGAGGTTAAGCCTAACTTAGCATATTAAGCTTTTATTATTTCAGATTATAGTTACTATTTTGTGGGGTTAAAAAACTAGTATATTTTTAAAAAGTTGAGGTTCTGCTGATTCCAAGGAATTCTGAGGAATTTGAGAGGGAAGCCTTGTGACTCTCATTGGGGGCTTATACTGATAGTAACTATATATAAAACTAAATTAAAACTTGGGCTTAGGGGGTTGGGACATTTTAGTAGTCATCCAGGGGCAGAGAAATAGGAGTAATTAGGAGTAGCCATGAAACATTTGAGACATGGGGTATGTATTAGAAATAAAATCTGGATTATATCATGGTACATTATAACAAGGTTTTAGTGCATTCAGAATGCCTTGGTTAATAATTCAATAGACTTAACTCATGTGTTAAATGCAAAAACCTCTACAGAAAGTCCTCACTTAATATCATTGATGGATTCTGTGACTTTAAGCAAAACTACATATAATGAAGCCAGTTTTACCGTATGCTAATTATATAAACCAAAGAGTTTCACTCCTGTGGCGTCTGATCAATGTATAATGAAACAATATTGAACTAAACCAAATTAAGGATCTGTTAAACTTGTAACATTCTTCAAAGTATAGGCATTGACAGAAATGAACATGGCTCAATTTTTTGGGCAGTGAAGAAAACAACATTTTGAATTATCCTTTAGTGATGTTTCAGGTTTAGTAATGGTAAAGGCAGATGTTGTCCTTTGACTTTGGCTAATTCATTAGAGATGTAATATTTTTTCTTTGAATTCTGTAGTATCTTGGTAAGGAGTTGAGGATATGTTTCTCCTATGCTAAGTTTTAGTATTTGCTTTTTTTGTATTTAAGTAAAAGCAAAGCAGTTTAATCAGACAGTATCCAGACGGAATGCTTACATTTCATCTTTATGATAGAAAAAAATTAGGTCATTTTGAGAATAAATATTTTTTTTATTTTACTTTAATTTTTGTTGAGGTAACATTGTTTATAACATTTAACAGATGAATTTAAATAGGATTTAAAATAATTTATGTTTTTACATTATGGACTTGTATTTATGGAAGCCAGTAGGTGGCAGTATGATATATACAATGAAAGAGTTTCAAAGGAGGGTAAGAGTCCATTTCATATACAAATATGATATTTGTATATTAGAGAATTCAAATCACTGTATAGTTCATCAAAATATTTTTTGTATTCTGCCACTTTGTTGAAAATATTACAATTACTACTTTGGGGGCTTCTATACTGAAAATAACTATTTATAAAACTAGAAAATTAAAAACAAGGCTTAGGGGGTTGAGGCATTATAGTAATTTGTCCCAGAGTAAGGAAATAGGAATATTAATTAGGTTACCTGTCATAGACAGCATCTGAGCTATGCAATAATGTGGTTGGTTTTTGAAGTTATATTAACATATCTTGGTGGTTACTGAATTAAATATTACTAAAATACCAAAAAATTTGGTTGACAATTTTGGTATATATATTTAGAAGGAAGAATAATAGGTATTTTATTGATTCCCATGACTATTCATTTATGGTATTAACCTGTCATTAAGTATGTTTCTGTATTTCTCCTCTAGGGTTCTCTAAATGCCATGTGGTATGCAGAGGTTCGTTGCTTTTGAGTTTTTAAAAAACTAATAATGCCTAGAGTACTTGTGTAATTTCAGTTGAAATAAGAAGTAGGTGTCAATATTTTTCTTAGCTGCTACAGATTTCTCCCTATGTGCTGGCTTGAAATAACTGCATTGTGCTTTAGCTTGTCTGTTTTAATTTCTGCTTAAAAATTCACATAATTTGATAAACATATGTGGCTATTTCTGCCTTCCTTTCTCTTTGGTCTCTGGTTGTATGTGCGCAATGTCTTTGATATGCTACTTGGTGGTGTTTGCAAAGGAGCATTTACAATAATGTATGATGTCTTAATTCTCCTGTGTAGGTTAAAGAACTTCGAGAGAAGGCTGAGTTTTATAGGAAACGCGTTCTGGGCACACATTTTTCTCGGGACCATCTGAATCAGGTTCTGTCTGATAACAACAGTTGGTGGGATGTCTCCTCGACCACGAGCTCAGAAGGAACCGTTAGCAGTAACATTAGAGCACTAGATCTTGCTGGGTGAGATGTTTTTTGTTTGTAGTGAAAAAGTATGCTGTAGCTTATGTAGATCATGGAATTAAATAGGTAAATGACATACTACTCAAAATCCATTTCTACTTAAATGGAGATATGTCAGCCATATATTATATTTTATTATTTTTAGTTTACTTTCTACATACTCACTTTAAACACTTGTGTATAAATAATACATAATGTAAATCTGAAAGACTGGATTTTATAATGTTCCTTTTTAATAATTAAAAATATAGTAGGGATGATTATATAGCAGATGTAAAAGAACTTTAAAAGTAAGCTATTAGTACATACCCATTATCATTTATTAATAAATTTCTATGGTTATTATGGAATGTAGGTCCTACTTCTATGGGAGAATTCTCTGCTGTGTTGGGCTTTAAAGTGAAATGATCTAACTTTTTATAAGAAAAATAACACATTGATATGTAGCAAATAAAATAGTTTTTAGTTGTGACAGTGTATTAATATAGTCACACATAGCAAATTGAACTATAAATTCTAATTATGTGACATCTGATTTTAAGTTCATAAAACCTGTTCTTTAGTAATGTCTGGAAAAGATTAATCTATCTAAAGTATAAAATTTGAATCAGCTTACCAGATCCACAATTATATTCGAGTTTGTGCACAAACTCTAATTGAGCAAGTTAGAACATGCGGGGTCGGTCCTAGTTTATGTGTATAATGCCAATTTAGGGGATATGCATGGATTTTGTCAGTAGTGGTGCAGGCATGTATATGTGAAGACAGGAGAAGAGAAGATAAATATATTTTATTTTGGAGTATTTAATTATAGATCATAACTTTAATTCTTAGGTTTCCTTCTTTTTAAAAAAAAAATATTTTATTGATTTTTTTGCAGAGAGGAAGGGAGAGAGATAGAGAGCTAGAAAAGTTGATGAGAGAGAAACATCGACCAGCTGCCTCCTGCACACCCCCCACCGGGGATGTGCCCGCAACCAATGTACATGCCCTTGACCGGAATCTAACCCGGTACCTTTCAGTCCACAGACCGACGCTCTACCACTGAGCCAAACCGGCTTTGGCATTAGGCTTCCTTCTTTAATATCTGTGGGAAATATATAGTTGTGAATAGTGGGAGGGAATGATGGTGTCATTAAAATTGGTATAACTAGAAAACTCAAACTATTCAAGTTTAAAATAAAGCTTATTTTGTTATGCAGAGATCCTACAAGCCATAAGACTTTGAAGAAATATTCTACAAAACGAGAAGGAAAAAGGCCTATCTTGGAAGAACAGCCCCAGAAAAATACCACGGAGAAATTGGGTGTGTCAGATGCTTCCACTGTACCTGTCAGAAGGCGCCTAGCCTGGGATGATGCAGAGATCACCAATGAAGACATGCAGAAAGGTGCAGGGGACAGAGGAAGGGACAAGCAGGTTTATATGGGAGAGTTGGAAGTACATGAAAAATCTAAGGCAGACAAGATAAAAGAAGGGTGAGAGTTTTAAATTAATATATAGCAGCATTGTACAGAGTTAATATGTATTTTGTTACTAATTAAGTATACTGGGCTTTTAGTTTTATGATTAATAAAGATTTTATTTTAATCTCAGGAAGTAGGCATTCTGTATGGCTTTTAATTTTATTTGATCAGTTATTTGAGTCATCTGAACTTAGTAATTGAACACTTTGAATACTGAGCTATTTGGGGAGGAAGTAGTGAATGTTATTTTCATTTATGTCCTGCTAATTATGATTTGTCAGATTTGTAAATATGTCTGGAAGAATGACTTTCTGTTAGATTTAAGGTTATTCTTTTTTCCCCCTTTTTTTAAAATTAAGGTATTATATGTGTACATATCTTTCCATTGCGCCCCCCCCCCCCGCTTCCATACATGTCTCCCCCCTCCCCCCCCCAGACTTTTTCGTCCATTGGTTTTGCTTATATGCATGCATACAAGTCCTTCGGTTGATCTCTTATCTCCCCCATATCTCCCTATCCTCCCCGCTGTAATTTGACAGTCTATTTGTTGCTTTACTGTCTTTGTATCTATCTTTTTGTTCATCAGTTTATAATGTTCTTTATTATTCATAAATGAGTGAGGTCATGTAGTGTTTCTCTTTCATTGTCTGGCTTATTTCACTCAGCATGATGTTCTCCAATTCCATCCAGGTTGCTGCAAATGATAAGAATTCCTTCTTTTTTTTAAAAAATATTTTTTATTGATTTTTTACAGAGAGGAAGGGAGAGGGATAGAAAGCTAGAAACATTGATGATAGAGAAACATCGACCAGCTGCCTCCTGCACACCCCCCACCGGGGATGTGCCCACAACCAATGTACATGCCCTTGACCGGAATCGAACCTGGGACTTTTCAGCCCACAGACAGACTGACGCTCTATCCACTGAGCCAAACCGGTTTTGGCAAATTCCTTCTTTTTTACGGCAGCATAGTATTCCATTGTGTGGATGTACCATAGTTTTTTGATCCAATCATCTGCTGATGGGCATCTAGGCTGTTTCCAAATTCTAGTTATTGTAAAAGGTTATTCTTAAATATCAGATAGTTATACCAAAAAAGAATGAAAGATAATCCTATATAGTAAAAGGCTAATATGTAAATCGACTGAATGGTAGAACAACTAGTTGCTATGACACACTGACCACCATGGGGCAGACATTCAGTGAAGTGAGTGTGCTCCCACAGGGAAAGTGCCACTGAGCCAGAAGCTGGGCTCACGGCTGGCGAGTGCAGCAGGAGAAGCCTAAGCTGGCAGTCTGACATCCCCCGAGGGGTCCTGGACTGTGAGAGGGCACAGGCTGAGCTGAGGGTCCCCCTCCCCAGTGCACGAATGTTGTGCACTGGGCCTCTAGTGTTTTATAAGTTAAAACAAGTGATTTGGGCAGATAGGTAATTCCTGTTGATTTATATTCAGATTTTTTTGAGAAGTGATTCTTTACCATTGTACTGGTGCTTTTTGTCTATAGTTCAAAACTCATCATTCTTTAAAAAAAAAAAAAAATATATATATATATATATATATATACACACATATATATATATGTGTGTGTATATATATATATATATATATATATATATATATTTCTTTTAATATATATATATTTCAGAGAGGAAGGGAGAGGGAGAGAAAGGTAAAAACATCAGTGATGAGAGAGAATCATTGATCAGCTGCCTCCTGCACGTCCCCCACCAGGGATCAAAGCCACAACCCAGATATGTTCCCTGACCCAGAATCGAACCATGACCTCCTGGTTCATAGGTTGAGTCGCAACCTCTGAGCCATGCTGGCTGAGCTCCCTATTGTTCTTTTCATGAGTTTTGCAGTTAAAAATGAGACTTAGGGTCTGATTTAATGAAAGAATTCTCTGCTGACTTTCAATGATCTTCTCTCTTTTCCAGTATTCAGCCACTCTTGCCTGCCTGTGGATTTATTTATTTTTTCAGAAACAAAATGATCTTAAAAGTTTCATATTTTATTATTGCATAATGATAGCAAATTTCCTGGAGGAAATGCTTCATAATAGATTATTTTAATTTGTAGGTCAGATTCTTCTTCTGTATCCTCAGGAAAAGGAGGCAGGCTTCCTACTCCAAAGCTGAGAGAACTTGGTGGAATTCAAAGGACTCATCATGATCTTACCACTCCAGCTGTTGGTAATAGGCAAACACTTTGCAGCTCTTATTTCACCTGCCTTATCTATTATACATGAAAATGTAGTTTAATTGAAACTTATCATCATCTGCATTTTTCCAGGTGGTGCTGTTTTAGTGTCTCCATCTAAAGTGAAGCCTCCAGGCCCAGAACAGAGAAAAAGAATGTCTCTGCAGGATGGCTTAGAAACTTCAAAGAGTGACTTTAGAAAGGTAACTATTTCTATTTTGGGGGAAAACATCTCTTCAGGAAGTGATTTTGCTAATCACATATAATAAATACTAATTTCAGACTTTGGAAAATTTTCTGTATCATATATGGAGATAATTTATTAACTATATTAAGTAAGGCAGAGGCATTGAATTATATTTTTTTTTTTCCTGGTGTTTGACATTATATTTCTGCTACATACTTTCAAATCTTGTCAGTAATGACTCAGCAGGAAGAGGAGAAAAACACTTCTGTTTATTGAATATCTAATGTATAGCAATTATGTTCCAGCTATATTTTAGCATCAAAGATATAACCTTATTGAACTTACATTCTAGTGGAGGAGACAATAAACAGGATAACTAGGTAAAATATGTAGTATGGTAGATGGTGATAAGTACTAAGAAGAAAAATAAAACAGGGCAAATGAATACGAAGTGGCCAGGGAAGGTCTCACTGAGAGGGTAGCATTGGTGCAGAAGCTGAAGCTGTTGAAGGACTGACCCAGTTGCATATTTAGGAAGGCATTCTAGGCAAAAGAACAGCAAGTGCTAAGGCCTGCGGGTGAGAAGGTAGCTCATTTCTTCAGGGGCAGAAAGGAAGTCAGTGGACTGGAACAGAGAGCACGAGAAGGAGAGCAGTATGGGCGATGAGTTCAGAGGCATAATGGGCCTCATAAGTCATAGCAAAGACTTTCAATTTTATTCTGAATGAAATGGGAAGCCTTTGGAGAGGCAGAAGAGTGATAGGAGTCAGTTAAAATATTCAGGCAAGAATGATGGTAGTTTGGATTGTAATGGAGGTCATATGATAAAGTCTGATTCTGGATATTCATAGAAAGTATAGCTGATAAGATTAGCTGATGTATAAGATATGGGATGGGAATAATAGAAAAATCAAAGATGACTCAGGATTTTTACCTGAGCAATAAAGATGGAATTGCTTTTTAACTGAGATGGGGATGACAGTATGAGGAAAAGATTTGTCAGGGAAGACCAAGAGTTCTGTTTTGGACATGTTAAAGTTGAGAAGCTTATTCGTCATACAAGTAGACATGTTGGGTAGGGAGTTGATTGAAGTGTAGAGGAGAGGCTGGGCTGCAGAAGGATTTGAAGGCTCTTTATCATAGGTGGTACAGGTATGTAAGGTCTGGAGACTGGTGAAGGTCATCTCGGAAGTGGATATTAGAGAAGAGTAGGTATATATAAGTCTGAGCCCCAGGCTTTTAATATTGGGAAGTTGAGGAGTAACCAGCAAAGAGACTGAAGAGAAACAGCCATGAGGTGTTGGGAAACAGAAGACTGTGGCCTCCTGGAGGTGTGAAGGAGGAGGGAGTGTTAATGCTACTGATGGGTCAGTAAGGTATGAAAACTGATTATTGGATTTAGCAACCTGGAGGTTATTGGTGACCTTGACAGAGGGCAGTTTTGGTAGTAGTGTGGGACAAAAGCCAAAATGCATGTGAATTCAAGAGAATGGAGAGGAGAGGAATTGGAGACAGCATCACAGACAATTCTTTTAAGAGTTCTTCCCATGAAAAGGGAGCAGAGTCAGGGAGTGGGAGTTAGAAGTGAGATCAAGAAAGAGGAGATAAGAGCACATTTGTATGTTGATAACAGCAGTTGTTTTTTGTTTTGAATATTTTTTCTTTATTGATTAAGGTATTAGATATGTGTCCTTATCCCCCCATTCCCCCCCCCCCCCCCCCCCCCCCCCCGCTCCAAACACACACACACTGATGCCCTCATCCCTGTGGTGTCTGTTTTAAAGAGAGAGGAAAGATGATGCAGGAAAGAGTAAAATTGTTGGAAAGATGTTCTTGAGTAGGAGAAAGGACATAGGACCTGGCAGAGATGTGAAATGGTTAGCCTTAGGCACTGTGACAGTTCCTTTATTGTTAAAAAAGGGAAGGCAGAACAAATTTTATGGGCACTGCTGATGAAATACAGGAAAATGTGGGAGCTTTGGGAAAGTCTGTTTTGTGTTTGATGGGATATAAAGCAAGATCTTGATGGAAATGAGGCAGAGGAAGAAAATTTTAGAGGTTTGAGGAAAGAGAATAAGTCATGAAATAGGTTTTTTGTTTTGTTTTGTTTTTTTCCAGATAGCGGGAGAGTGGATGGGCCAGGGAAAGTAAAATATTGCAGGGCAGTGTTAGGAACCATTTTTGGTCAGTGGTCACCATTTTGGTGTAAGACCAGTCAAGATGTTTTTTTGTCCAGGCATTTTTGGCTGCAGAGATGGATTTAACTGGGGTTCGTGTTTTATCAAGGGAGTGAGACCAAGTGAGAAAGGGAGTTAAGGTATGTGTAGGACTTGTTTGGCTTCGGGTACCCATGGGAATTAGTTTTTAAAGTTCGGAGGTTGTGGTCAGAAGTTGAGATTATAAAGAGGTTGCCGTTACTAGTAATGACAAGGCTTAACATATGATCATGGGAGTAAGTGGCTAAAGTAAAATAGAGAACATTCAAAGAAGGGAAGTTGAGGAGTAACCAGCAAAGAGACTGAAGAGAAACAGCCATGAGGTGTTGGGAAACAGAAGACTGTGGCCTCCTGGAGGTGTGAAGGAGGAGGGAGTGTTAATAATGCTACTGAGGTAAGGTATGACAACTGATTATTGGATTTAGCAACCTGGAGGTTATTGGTGAATTTCTTTAGGGGATTTTGCTGGAAGCTATTCATAAATTCCAGAGGGCACAGTAGAAAGTTATTAGGTATTGGGGAGAGGCGAGAGAATGGGTCAGAGCAGTCCCCCAAACCTGCTCATAGCTGGTACCCATTAAATTGAGTTGAAGGAGTATGACTGGAATGACAATGTCTAAACTATATCCTGTTATTTACCCTGTTACATATCACACACATTATTGATAATTAGCTTTTTTAAGAAAACAAAGGAGAAAAAAGATTGCTCCCTCTTAGCAATCAAGGGGATAGATAATGAGAAATAACCATATCTAGCTCCTGATACAGCCCCTGGTAATGCTGGTGACAGAAAATTCACATAGAGGGAATTCTTATCAAGTGGTTAATAAGAACCCTGCTGGCTTATTAAAGGAAGTGTGACAATAGGAATTTGGGGTATTGATTGGAATCTGATTTCGGAATCTTTGATCTCCATGGACTGTCCTGCTCCTTCCTCAGGAATCCAGATTGTCATGTGGAAGGTGTGAGCTTCTAGTTAGTTTTGCCCACAGGGCTGACTACCTTCAGCTAAAACGAGTGACCCTAATCCATATTTGCAGCTGGATTTATATATATTATTTTTATTTATTATGGAATTAAGTTTTTGAATAACAAAATAAAATTAATTCAAATAGAGTAATATTGGCCTTTAACATTTTAATGCTAATATCTTCTTTATCGTCTATATAGCACAGTTGTAACATTTTAATTATAAACTCCTCTAAAATAAGCAGGCTTCTTATTAACTTTATAAGAACTCCCTCTATGTGAATTTTCTGCCATCAGCTCTACCAGGGGTTGTACCAGGAGCTAGATTTGGTTATTTCCCATTCACTACCCCCTTGATTGCTGGGAGGCATCAATCATTTTCCCCCCTTTATTTTCTTAGAAAAGCTAATTATTAATAATATTTAAAAATGTATTAATTTTTCAATAAATAAATTAATTGATATCATTCTACATTTTTTTTCTATAGAAATTAGGGAGAATCTTATATAATAAAAGCCTAATATGCAAATTGACTGAACAGCTGAATGACTGTTGGAATGATCAGTCACTAAGATACGCACTGACCACCAGGGGCAGATGCTCAACACAGGAGCTGCCTCCAGTCCCACAGGCCCCCACCCCCAAATCACCCTGCCAGTTGCCCTGCAGAAGGAGGTAACTAGCGGCGGCAGCAGTGGCTGAGGGTGAGGCTGGTGAGTGGGCAGCACTCAGCAGGCCAACGCAGATGCCAGCGGGGGTTCCCTGATCACCCTGCCAGTCGCTCCACAGATTGGTGCTGATCACTGGGCAGGCTTGGGAACCCTATCAGTGCATGAATTTCTTGCACCAGGCCTTTAGTGGCTACACTAATAAAAAAGAAACATGCAAATTAATTATCACTCTGCTATGCCAAGCCATGCCCGCCAGCCGATCAGGAGTGAGTATGCAAATTAACCTAATCAAGAAGATGGCCGGTTGGCCATGGAGCTGGAGCAAGCAGGAGGCTTGGGTTGCCCCAGCAATGGAGGAGGCCAAGCTTCCCACCCATCCTAGCCAGCCCTGGCCTCTGCTCAAGGCTACAAAGTTTCAATTATAGAAGGTAAATAAACCCTAGATAATTGCTTACAGCTGGCCCTGGCCTCTGCTCAAAGAGGCGCTGAAAAAAAGAAAAAGAAAAAAGAAAAAAAAGGAAAAAGGAGGGACTGGGACCTTGGATTGCCGGGAGGGGGATGGGGGAGTGGGAGGGTCGGGGGTGGGTATTGATCAGGCCAGGATGGGATGACAGGGGCAGTTTGGAGTGAGCAGGCCAGCAGGGGCGTGGTGGTGCAGTTGGGGGTGATCAGGCTTTCTGGCTTGCCCAAAAGGATTGATGGAGGGTACTGTGCACTGAGGAAGAGAACTCTGGACAGGAACCACTTTTAGAGGGGAATATTGAGAATTTCATTTTTATTCACTCGATTCAGTATTTAATGTGCTCTTATATATGCCAGGCACTGTGCTAGGACCTGGGGGTTAATTGATATTTAGAACAAAATCCTTGCCCTGCATTTTTATTGGGAGAAACAAGACAAATTTTATAAAGACAATTTAAGGTAGTAGTAAGTGCTATGAATGAAATAAAATGAAAAATGACTTCCAAGGTGTGGATGAGGCTGTTTTACTTTGGGCCATCAAGCGAGGCATCTCTGAGGAGGTGGTGTTTTATCTAAGACCCGACCAATGAGGGGAGGCGCCCAATCAGAGATCTGGGGCACATATTGTTTTCCAGGTAGAAAGAGCAGCAAGTGCAAGTGTATAACAGAGTTTTTAAGGAATGAAAAAGCCAGTGTGATTGGATCCTGGAGAAGGAAGAAGAGAGTTGGGAGTAAGTTTGGAAAAGGGAGGCTGGATAAGGAATGGGAATGTTGTTCTGCTGCCACTGGGAAGCCATTGGAGGATTAGAAGCAACAAAGAAAATATAAATCTCTGGTTTGCATGGTAAATGGCATCATCCACTGCTCAGTGGAGAGTGGACTGTGCTGGGGGAGAGTGGAAGCAGTGAGGCCAGAAGGAGGCTCTAAGCTCAGAAATGGATCACAAAGTCGTTAAACTGGGACCCTCCGTGTTTAAAACAGTCAGGTCTTTTTAACAGCAGCAAAATCATTTTCACAGAGACCTCAAATTCTGTTTATATGTGTAGAAATGAAAAATATCAAGGAATAGTTTTCCTAAGTGATACTTCTAGTTAAAAAAGGGAAGCAAGAAGATTTGTGGTTTTTATCTTAATCTTGATTAAAAAATATGTGTTTGTTGGATAATCCTAGGCCATGTCCACTTTAAAGCAATAAGCTCTTTAATTGCAGAAAATGATACCTAAGATCAGAAAGCATTGTTTTGAATATTGCATTGATAAACTCAAAGTTAAATAACTAAAGGCAACAATTAAAAGGATTAATCAGGAAAGTTTAGAGCTGTATTTGATTTTACTGGTTTACATTCTCTTAAAAAAGTGAAACTACCCAGAGACTTTTGGGATAATGATATATTATCATTTTAGAAAATAAAAATATTGTGTCAAAATAAAAAAGCAAATAAATTATGTACACTTACTGTTCAGGGATATTCACTTTTAAAATTTTGAATTATTTCGGAATAGTATATTTTTATTATACTGTAGATAAGGCTTTATAGTCTATTTTTTATCACTTAGTAATGTATTATGAACATATTTCCATGTAATTAAATATAATTTCTATATAATTTTTAATAACATGATATATAGTCTGTATTATACAGTCATTGTTTTAACCACATGCTTATTGTTGAAATCTATTTTTAAAAGTGAATGCCTATTGTTATTTCTTAATTTCTCTATTTTGAAAAAAATAGGATGAAATACATCCTTTAGCTAAATTTCTGTTGTCTTTTGTGTAAATTTCTAAGTGGTGAAAGGATTCAAAATTTTAAGATTTTAGCTATGTTTTGCCAAATTCCCCAAAAGATTGTGCTTCCAACAACACTGGCAGTTCTGGGTATTATATCTATAGTTTGTTTTTTCAAAAAAGTAATCTTTGTAATTTTGGAGGTAAAAAATTAGTACTTCAATGATTTTATTTTGAAATACTTTATTATAAGTGAAGTGAATATGTTTGACATTTATATTTTGTTTGTATATGAATTGCTTATACATATCCTTTTTCTACTTTTTAATTAGGTTTATCTCTTCTTACTATATGTAAAGAAACAGTTATGTAGCAATTATAGTAATTCATCAATTGTTTAATACATATTTTCCTCAAATTTGATTTTTCTTTTCTTTTTTAATGTTTATATATATTTTTTTTCTATAGCTAAATATGCTTATATTGGTTGTTAGGCTTATAAAATCTTCTGCATATGGACATTACATAAAGTTCCCCTATATTTTCTCCTGCTTTTATAATAATCCTAGAGGCTGGTGCACAAAATTCATGCAAGTGTAGGTTTTCATTCTCCCAGCTGCCAGCATCTGCTTTCCTCTGGCACCCAGGATGCAGGTTTTCCTCTGGATGCTGGCAGGCACCTGGGACCTGGGCTTCCCTCACAGTCTTGGCTTCATCCAGAAAGGGCATTTGATCTAATTAGCATATTATGATTTTACTGAGGCCCATTGCAGGAAAATTCCAGTAATAGGGCTTCCTGCTGCGGTCTCTGCCACCCCACCTGCTTCCTTCCCTTCTCCTGCTTCCCTTCCTCCTCCCCAGCCCCACCTGCTTCCCTCCCTTCTCCACTGCCCCGCTTGCTTGCTTCTCGGCAGATTCACTCCCTTCTGCAGTGCTTGGCTTCATTCTACACTGTCTTCAGTCTTGCTCTGTGCCTGGATATGCAAAGTAATTTCCATCTTGGTTAGGTTAATTTGCATACTCACCCTGATTGGCTGGTGGGCGTGGCTTGGGGGCGTAGGGAAGATACTGTCAATTTGCATGCTTCTCTTTTATTAGATAGGATTATTATAGACTGGAAGTCTGGTGCACAAAATTTGTGCACTGGGGATTGCCCTTCAGCGCAGCCTGCACCCTCTCCAATCATTTTCATTTAAAATTACTAAACTGCCCATTTAGTAGGACATTTCTCTCACAATCCAGGTCTGTTGGCTCCCAACTGCTTGCCTGCCTGCCTTCCTGATGGCCCTAACCGCTTCTGCCTTCCAGCCTGATCACACCCTAACCACTCCCCTGCCAGCCTGATTGCCCCTAATTTCCTTCCCCTATAATCCCCCCCAACTGCTTTCCCCTGCCTAGTTGCCCCCAACTTCCCTCCTCTGCTGGCCCAGTCCCTCCCAGTTGTCCCCCTGCTGGCGTGAGCACCCCCAACTGCCCTCCCTTGCAGGCCTGGTCCCTCCCAACTGCCCTTCCCTGCTGGCCATCTTGTGGTGGCCATCTAGTGTCCATATGGGGGCAGGATCTTTGACCACATAGGGGCAGCCATCTTGTGTGTTGGAGTGATGGTCAATTTGCATATTACTCTTTTATTAGATAGAATGGAGGCCTGGTGCACGGGTGGGTGCTAGCTGGTTTGCTCTGAAGGGTGTCCTGGATCAGGGTGGGGGTTCCCTTGGGGCACGGGGTGGCCTGAGCGAGGGGCCTGTGGTGGTTAGCAGGCCGGCTATGCCCCCGGTGACTGAAGCGGAGGTCCTAGTATCTGGGATTTATTTATCTTCAATAATTGAAACTTTGTAGCCTTTAGCAGAGGCCAAGGCAGGCCATGTCTGCAGAAGCTTGGCTTCCTCCATTGCCAGGGGCAACTCAAGCCTCCTGCTCTCTCCAGCTCTGTGACTGCTGCCATGTTTGTTGGGATTTATTTATTTTCTATAATTGAAACTTTGCAGCCTTGAGTGGAGTCCTGGGGCAGCCAGGGTGTGTGAAAACCTTGGCTTCCTCCATTGCCAGGGAAACCCAAGCCTCCTGCTCTCTCTGTGGCCACAGCCATCTTGGTTGGGTTAATTTTCATACTCATTCCTGATTGGCTGGTGGGTGTGGCTTGTGGGTGTAGCAGAGTGATGGTTAATTTGCATATTACTCTTTTATTAGGACATTTTTGTGTGTATTTAAATGTTTTATATATATACTCACACACGTATATATATGTGAATATATGTGCACTATACACACACATATGCAAACATACACACGTGTGTTTTTTTGTGTTTTTTTTTTGAACATTTAGAAAGAAGGTCATGTGGTAACCCTCCTGACTTCTCCAGCTGCTGGTATAAAAACAGTTGATCCCTTGCCTTTAAGAGAAGATTCTGAAATCAATATCTCCAAATTTTCAGAATCCACTCTTCCAGTTTCAAAAATTCCAGAATATCTAACAAACAGGTCTGGGCAGTCTCCTTCTCCACCTTCATCCTACTGGCATCCCTCTCATCGAATTAATGGCTCTCTGAGAGATTCAGAATTTCAGCATAATGGTAATTATTTTGGTTTCAATTTTTTTCATTTAAAATGAAAGTCTTATACATATAGGTACAAAGCCTGTAAGTATCTACTAAACATTAATAAATTATGTTACTTAGTTTTTTAATTAGTGTATTTTATTTAAATAGGAGTTTAATCTTTGGAACAGTTCATAGTACTGTACCCAAGTTTACTTTTGTATAATCATGAGGTGTCTCTCAAGTTCTTTCCCATACACATGCAGGCAGTACACGAGATGCCAATAGCATCCTTTCCTCAGTGTGACAACCAAAAATGTCTTCATACATTGCCAAATGTTGCCTACGTATAGAATTCAGTGAATTATTTTCCTTTAGGTTTATTGGGCATTGCTCTGCTCTCTTTTAGTTTATACCATTACCATTGAGAAGTCTGTTGCTCTCTTTATTTTTCATCTTTTCTATGGGTCTTTTTATTCCTGGAAGCTTTTTTTCGATCATTTCTTTATACCTAATATGAAATTTTACAATAGTTCTTTTTTTCATTCATATTGCTGATACTCAGTAGGCCTTTTCAGTTCCTCACTTCTGGGACATTTTCGTGAGTTGTTTAGTAAGTAATTTCTTCCCTTCCATTTTCTGTTTTCTTTTTTTCTGATACTCCTATTATTCAGGTGTTGACCAAGTAACCATAATCTTATTTTCTTACCTTACCTCTCTTATTTGCCATCTCTGTCTTTTTATTTTAATTTGAAAGGGTTACACATTTTAATTGGCTCTATTTTTAACTTTTAAGAATTTTTTTAACACTGCGTTTTTTAAATACAGCATCCTGTTTTTATTTTATGGATCACATGTTTTATCTCTTTCATAAGATAAATAATATATATGTTCTCAGAGTAGCTTTGATAAGCCTTTAGAGACGAAACCTCCATTTCTCGTTTGAAAGAGGAGTGAGTAGCTGCCCACCGGGGCAAATTTAAGGAAGGATCTGGCAGTCTTTTTTTAAGTTTTTATTTTTTAATTACAAGTAGTTATTTTTAATATTTTGTATTGGTTTCAGGTGTACAGTATAGTGGTTAGACAATCATACACTTTACACAGGGTTTCCCCCAATATTTCTAGTATCCAACCAGTCTCCTGGTTCAGTCCTATTCTCACTTCAACTTTCAGTGCTACTCAGTACTCCCAAATGCTAAGCCATTAGGAGAACAAAATGGTTGCTTCATGGTTTCCCTCCACTTATATCTTAAGAATGTATTTTTATTGATTTCAGAGAGGAAGGGGGAGAGAGAGATAGAAACATCAATGATGAGAGAGAACCATTGATCAGCTGCATCTGTATGCCCCCTACTGGGGATTGAGCCTGCAACTCAGGCATATGCCCTTGACCAGAATTGAACCTGGGATCCTTCAGTCACCAGGCTGATGCTCTATCCACTGAGCTAAACTGGTTAGGGCTAATAAAATTTTTGATAGCTAACTTTCACTAAGGGTTTGCTATAAATAAGATATACTGTTGGGTAGCTTTGAAAGATAATTTCTTGTGCCTCTTATTTTTTTTTTAAGTGGGAAAAGCAAGGCAGAACGATTTCCAGTTACCGCAGCATGATGCCTTTGATGAAGGTATTTCCATAGTCAATAACACAAGATAAAAGTATGAAGCTTATTATATGGCATTTAGTTGATAATAATATAATCATCTTACAATTGATCAGCACTGTATACTTTACACAGTACTTCCACCAGGTGTTACTTCATTGGATCCTTGAAATCTTATGAGGGAGGTGAAGCTATCTCTGTTTTACAAATGAGTAAACGGAGACCTAGAGCCCCGGTAAATAGTTTCTAAAGCAAACAGGTGACAAAAGATTGAGCCTCACACCACACTGAAGTCCATACCCTCTGTTTTCCCCCATGTAGGTGGAATTTGGCCTAGCATTATATCCATTATTTTTTCAAATGCGATATATTTTTATCAATTTTTAATTCCAAAAATATATAATTTTGAAATATGAGGTTTTTTTTGGGTGTAGTTTTCATAATGACAAATTCATTTGCTTCTAATAGGGGCAGGAGAAATTTTGAATTCTTGATATGAACAACTGAAATGACAATTTTAATTTATCCTTAGAAATATGAAATTACTGAATTTGTAAATTTTGGGTTTGAAAGTAAATTTAAATTAATACTTTATGTATTTTAAGTTCATGTACATTAAAGGTTGTTTTTCCCCTTAGCAAGTTTGGAACGTTTTTTTCAGAATTTAGTGAGCTGGAAATTAAGTTATTATGTTTTCAAATGCAAATATCTGGACAATTTGAATCCAGTTCTGTTTTCTTTTTAATGGAAGAACAACATTTACAAATAATCGTATAATAGATTTGCTTACTCAGAGTGAGGAATTTCAGTAATAATGAAAGGTAGCATATTAAAGTCAAATAATATTTCTACATTAAGTAAGATTATTTTCAATGTGATGTAAATACCATGCTAAGCGATGGCATTTTGTTTTTAAGAAGTTTTAAAAAGCTTTTCACTCAGAATAGCTGTACTTTTTAAAGTAGGACAGAACAGTCTGATGATGAATTGTTTCCAGGTAATACTGAAAGCATAAGCTGTGTGTTGAGGTGATGACATTGTGGGATTTCAGGAAGGAGACAGAATGCTCATTTAACATTTAAATGTTTCATTCTGAATATAGTAAACTTGGTAAATTTACTATGAACTGTACTGAAAATATTAGTATCTTATATTTCAATAGAGTACTTTTTTCTATCAGTCAATATTGATGTTACAAAGCTTAATGCTTTTTCTTTTCTGTTATTGTTGTAAACAATATTTTATAAGGTATTTTTTGCACTGACTATCATTCTTTCATTGCAGATGAAGACAGATTATCTGAGATTTCTGCTCGCTCTGCAGCTTCTAGTCTCCGGGCTTTTCAAACTCTGGCACGAGCTCGGAAAAGGAAGGAGAATTTCTGGGGCAAATTATAATTAAACACACCTATTTGAGTTGCTTTTATCTAGGGAACTATTGGCACAATTTTTCTTTATTGCTCCATTCTGTTAAGACTTTTTAAGTACTTGGATTTTTCCCTAACAATTCCTACTTAAGAAGAATTATTTGATTTTCAATAGCCAATTCAATTTACTTGGGAAATTTTGACACAGGTTTATACAAATTTAACTTTTAAAAAATTCTTTTTACATTTATTCCAAATTATAAAGATATAGATTATAAAGTTCTTCATGTGTCTTAACTTTTGTTTTAGTGTTATGGATAGCTGGTAGAATTGTGAATTTTACCTATCCAGAAAATATTCTAAGTTAAGTAAAAATTGAGATCCCAGTGTGAAGAATATATTTCTCTAATATTGCTTCTATTATCTTTATAATTGTAGATGTCATAAAATTAATGTTTTGCTCTTATTTTTCTGTAGTGTTTATTTTTTAGTAACTTTCGTATGTGGTTATAATGTTAAGATACTTTATTTTAGATTTAAAATACTAGCTGTATATATTTTTCTTATTTATGTAACAAAGTTTGCTGAGAAAATATGTATATTTTTTATCTTTGTGTGTGTTCTATTTGTATAAGTACTAGCTTATATTTGAATAATGTCTGAATTTTGAAAAATTATTTGTATAATGGAAAACTAAAACTTTGTAGATATTTCAAAATAAAAATCAAGTATTTCAATTTCCTGTTTATTATTAACATAATAATTCTCCAAAATATTAGTATATGGAAGAAATAGTTATATTTTAGGAACATTTTACTCATAAAAGGTTAGTCAAATGTAATAGTGCTTTTGCAGCAATCCAAATGCAATGAAACCAAGTCCATGATATTTTTGTATAAATGTAGAAAAATATAGAATTTCCAAGGCAGAATAATTTTTAAAAAATTTAACACAAACTTTTTGACTATACTTCTTCACTCATAGGACATGTTCTGTCTTTACTTTGCAAATCATGATAAATGTAATTTTCTTAAAATAGAGTTTTTATAACAGTAAAAGTTTTATAATAGTACATAAAATGTATTGAAGATAAAATAAACGATTATTTGTGCTTATTGGTTAGAAAACAAATAATCTGTTCTAAATTGCTTTCTTTGGTCAAAAGTGCTTATACAAAAATCATCAATTTACAGTAAGTTTGTCAAAGATCTGAGTATTATCATCTATACTAGGGGTGTCGAACTCAATCAGAGAAGGGGCCAAAATCTAAAATCCAGCCTAAATTGCGGGCCGAATGGTTTACTGAACAGTCATAAACTGTCATATACTAATAAAAAAAAAGATAATATTCTAATTAGGCCGGACATGTTTTGGCCATCCTTCAAGACAAAGCCACAGTGGCGGGGCTGAGGCAGAGGCAGTTAGGGGTGGGTGATAAGGCTGGCAGGGGAGAGCAGTTAGGGGGATCAGGCCTGCAGGGGAGAGCAGTTAGGGGTGATCAGGCCAGCAGGGGAGCAGTTGAGAGCATCAGGCAGGCAGGCAGGTGAGCAGTTAGGAGCTGGTGGTCCTGGATTATGAAAAGGATGTCTGACTGCCGGTTTAGGCGCAATCTGAGAGGGTGCAGGCTGGGCTGAAGGACCCCCCCCAATGCACAAATTTTGTGCACTGGAACTCTAGTGGGGTTATAAAGAACTGGGACGTACAATTATTTGCTTACATTTCACTGGCCTTGTAAAATAAGTTTGTTGATAAAAAAAAAAGTTACAAAGGCACTAAATATGGAAATAAAAGTTAAAAATTAGTGTATAAGTGGATTTTTGAACACAAATCATCTTGGATTCTGTATAAAGGTCTACTGAGGCATATTATTTGCAAAGTAAATTTGGAATTGAGAGATGGTTAGTTGGCTAGGACAGAGTTTTCAATGGCTGACCACTGATTTACAGTAAAGAAAGGAATTACAGCTATCTTGCAGAGAACTGCATAGCTCAGTCTATCTTACCTAAGCTATAGATGGTAAAGTCTGGGTTCACACACTGGAATAAATCCACATGAACTTGATCTATCGAGTGTTGGGTGGGTTAGGGTATGATTCTCATGAGGTCTTTACTCCATTCTTGTACTGCTGACCACCTCTCCAAAGCACTACTGAGTGGCTCAGGGCAATGTTGAGGGATCAGTATTGTTCCATCACTCGAACTAAAAGATCAATTCAAAGGACCTGCATTTGAATTGGGTAAGTAGTTTACTAGAGAAATGGTTCATGAGATTTGATGGTATTTAGGAGCTAAGATTGCTAACTCAATGTTTTAACATTTTATTAAGATATTCTTTCATGTATAATAAACTTCAATCATTTAAAAAAAATTACAGCTTGAGTTTGGAAAGAATGTATACATCTGAAATCAACACAAGAAACATTACATTTACAGTATTCTAAAAGTTTCCTCATTTCCTTTAGCAGTTAATTTCATCCCTCCCTATATATAAACCCAAACCAGTATTATAAAGTGGTGATAATAATTTTTGTCAAAATTGATACTTCATAAACTGGACTGGAGAGAGAACATCAGAATCACAATGGAAGTTTTTCCAAAATGGACACACCTACCACCCTTGCTTTTCCATCCCCCGACCTTCACCCTAGATGCTGAGATTCCCATGTGTCCCTGGTTGAGAACTAGGACAAAAATGCACATATGTGCATATGGAAACTGCATGTTCATTTTTGCTTTCATCTCTGCATCTCTTTGGGAATCTGAACTCTTAAGAACACCTACAAGATAATTTTGAAAATTAAGGATAAAGAACATGATAAATTGCTTAGGGATGATATGAGATTTAAACATAAAAGACATCATTTTACAAATGGGAAAACACTCTTAGATTAAATGACTGGACAGCTAAAAGATCTCATAGCTGGTAAATCAAATCTAGGTCTTACTCGAAATAGTCCCACGCTGCCTACTCTCTAGTGTTAAACTTGAGTCCTACTGTGATTCAGTTCTCTGATTCATTTGGGAATTAAAAACCTAACTTTGCTTTCTTAGAAGATAAGTGAAACACCTACCTTTCTAGTCAGGAATAAAGAGTATACGGGCATATAGATATATTGTACAAATGGGTTCAACCAGAATGAAATTGAGTTAACACAAGTTTATCCTTACAATGTTTTAATTGGCTACCCAGGATGGATTTTGTACCTTTGTTGTAGTTGTTGACACTCAAAAAAATATTTACTCCCACTTTTGGAAATTTACCAAAGGAACAAGTAATCTAAAATGTAAATGATCCTGGAATCATTTACATTTAGTTTTGGACTATGTTTTGCTATTTTCACATGTGGTAGCATTGGGCATGTTGGCATATTCAGGGCCCATATTTTGTCAAAATGCCATCATCACTCAGTTTCTGATGCACAAAGGCTATTTCAGGAAGAAGAAGTCTCTGTCACCAGACTATGGTTGTGCCCTGCTGAGTGTGGGTCAGCTGGGGGCTCTGAAACCAGTCTGTCCTTGTAGCTTAACTCGTGAATTAAAGGCAGGCCAGTGCTCTCTTTGACCCTTTGCTGGTCAACACTAATGTTGATCCTACACCCGGCTTTGACCATCTGTGTCTTTTCCTGTGGTGAATGGAAACAGAGCTTCACCTCCTTTTTCTCTCTCAGGTTTAAAGCCAAAATTGCTTAAACTGTATTTCATGTTTCATTCCCACCCTGGTCCTACAAAGCCTGTCAAAGATAGTGGAGGGCAGCTCTCTCATAGGACTACCCCTGCTCTATAAGGCAGGTAAGAGGGAAAGAGGACATCCACTTCTCTTCCACCAAACACTCCATCTACTAGTTCCATCCATGCCATCATTCTGCCCCAGATATATCAGAGCATGTTCTTGGAAACTGAGGGAGCAATGAGGTCTGGGGTGGGAGACACTCAGTTTTTCTGGAAGTCAGGGCATGAGGCCAACAGAGTGTTGTTTGGGAAGTTCACAACCTATTTGAACCACCTAATGGACAATTTAGATAATGTTGGTAAATTGTTCAGTTTCCCCCCAATATAGTCTAAAACCTAGTATTAGGTCTAGTAATAATGTCGTTTTCTAATACTTTTTTTAAATCGAATTTATTTAAACAATACAACAAAATTTAATCAACAATATAGTTGCCGTTGTTTTCTACTACTTGTGCCCAACGCTCAGGAAGCATTTTAATCCCTCTGTTGTAAAATTCTTGTGATTTTGATGCAAAAAATTCGGTCAATGCATTTTTGAGGCATTCTTCATTATTAAATTTTTTTCCAAGAAGAAAGTTTTGCAAAGAACGAAACAAATGGTAATCGGAAGGGGCAATATCAGGAGAATATGCAGGTTGAGGGAGAACTTCCAACTGGCGCAGTTTTTCAGCAGTGATTCTTGCAGTATGCGGTCGTGCGTTATCGTGGTGAAGAATTACGCCCTTCCGATTAATCAGCGTGGGTTCTTTTTCTCTTAAAGCTTGGGCTAACCTTTCCAATTGGGCACTATACACTGCACTTGTAATGGTTTGGGTAGATGGTAAAAGTTCATAATGAAGAATTCCTTTAAAATTCCACCAAACACACAACATCACTTTTTTTGCATGCAAGTCAGGTTTTGGCGTGGGCTGCGGAGCCTCATTTTTGTCCAACCATTGAGGCCGCCTTTTCAAATTAACATACAGCACCCATTCTTCATCTCCGGTAACAATTTGCTCTAAAAACGGCAAACGGTTTTGACGAGAGAGGAGCGAACTGCAAATTGTGACTCTTTGATTATGGTTGTTGTCGGTCAACTCATGAGGAACCCATTTTCCAAACTTTTGGACTTTGCCAAGTGCACGCAATTGATTGGAAATTGTTTTTTGTGAACAATTTAAAGTTGTCGCAAGCTCTTGTTGGGTAATTTGAGGATTTTGCACCAAAAGAGCTTGAAGAGCTTCTTGATCAAAATTGGACACACGGCCTCGACCACTCTTGTCATCTAACGAAAAATTTCCCTCGCGAAATTTCTCAAACCAACGTTGGCATTTTCTGGCACTAACTGCATCTTGACCAAGAGCACTACAGATGTTTTTTGCAGCCTCACTTGCTTTTCTTCCTAATTGGAACTCGTAAAGCATGCAGTGCCGAATATGCTCTTCATCCGCCATCTTCTTAGCCCTAGTTTTGCAACAAAAACCAAACCAAACACAAACTTTTTCAAGCAAAACTTGTTAATTGCACTTCACACGTTCTGTAGATACCACGTGTTTGAAGGCTATGTCAATACAAGTCAACGCCAAGCAAGATTTTAAACAAATGTTAAAAAACGACATTAATTATTACTAGACCCGATAGTATGCTGAATCTGTTTTTTGGGCCAATTGTAAAATATTAAGAACATTTGTGAGCATCATATTAAACCATCAGTAGTTTAAAATTTTCCATGGTGACCGTATTTATACCATGGAAGTGAGGATATGCTATGGATCAGGGCTGCCTCCCCAATTAACCTCCCTGGGCAGTTTACAGCCCCACTGCTGCTGCCACTACTGGTGTCAAGACTTCTCTTTCTGTTCATTTCCTGATAAAAACCCACTCCAGAAAAAATAAAAGAGGCAGCTCAAGACAAGCTACTAATAATTTACTATACTGTTCACATATTCCTTGGTTTATAAAAATAAAGTTTCCTTTCTTGGCTGAAGTGCATCTAGAAAATAAAAACAAGCCACAAATAGCAGATACTAATAGACTGTAGAGAGAAACTACCCATGATCCACCCGTGGGACTAGCCAGAGATGGAATTCTGTATATGTGATCCCGATATGCAGGTAGTTTGGGAACCACTGGCTTTGGGGTTATATATTAAGCTTTGAACAAACTGGCTAAACTTTTGAGCCTGCATTCCTCATCTACAAGATTTACAATTCAATGGTTTAAGGTCTGTAAAAGTGTTTCATATAGTCAATGTTATGTAATTCAAAATGTTCAGTTGTGTTGAAGACCAAATCTCTCTAAAGCAGTGAGAGAAAAAGGCGTGTTTTTGAAAGCAGGAGGCAGTGTTTCCTGAAAGCGTGGCATCTCGCATCGTCGTCTTTCTGTGATGACCTACATTCAGCTCGCACAGAGGCCATTTGGGGCAGGAGTGCTGAAATGATTTGTCTGCTTCCGTTATGTGGTAAAGCAAAAAAGTCTGCGACTACAGTATTATGACTCAGCGACTCCAGAAGGTGGAATCAAT